TTACAATTGTGACTCAAATCAATTGGTGTTTCGATTCGCGTTGAAACTGGGAAAATGAATCATCATCACCGAATCATCAGTATTGAACAAAAATGCAACATTAGCAGTGACATATGTGTAATATACACATTAAAGGCCTAGCTGTCATCGGTGGCAGATAACTCATTGCCAAGTGCAAGAACGAAACAAAGAAGTAACTCCAAGGTAAATTTTTTTTTTCAAGAATTATTTATTCGTAGACATAAAATTATAACTTGATTTTTATAGTATTTTGATTGGTATTTATAGATTATTATTATTGCACTTTATTGTATATTATTCTTTATAAAGAATATTTAATGAAAAGGCCGTTTATCGGAGGGATAAAAATCTGTATAAAATATCTCTTTCTAAATTTTGGAACATTTTTGCCTCCACTTCTCAAAGACGTTGTAATTGCTTACTCTCTAATACTTCTTCGGCCAAATCCACCATATGTATTCAAATATTCATTGAATATTTGAAAAAGTTATTTTTTGTTAGGGATGAGTCAGGCCAGCCTACAAGGTAATGTTTCCCAGCCTTTTTAGCAGCGGTTTATTTCTTGCATAAGAATGCTCAATGTGTCACAGTTTAATTTTAGTTCCTGAGTTTACTAAGTCAAAAGATTCCGTCCGCTAAATTTAGATTTTTTGTAGAAGTTAGCATATATTGATTTTTCTGAAAACTTTATTGTTTTTCTTCTAGTCCTGGTAAGCCCCATCCCTGGCAGAAACCACGACCTAAGCCAAGATGGTTTTGGATGCTCTGGAAACGTCGTTCCTCCTATATAGGAGACGAAAAACAACCTACTGACGAACAAATAGAGCAGCTGGACGATATTCTTGAACGTGCAAATGTGCTCGATGAAAACTTGGCTCATGCTAGGATCTTACTCTGATACAAACCTATAGTGATCTTCGTTAAATTTTGGTAAAAAATCCCGGGGCGGATTCTATTTCTGTATGGAACGTAGGTTTCCCATGCATTTTAATATTATCGTTTCCATAAAATTGGTAAAAACTGTCCGTTATACTGATACAGAAATGTAAACACTTTGTATATTCTAATCATTTTTTAAAATCATAGCGTTATTGGTTGCGTTGCATTAAGTGTTTAGCAATGTTCGCCTGTTTCCTGTGCTCATGACTTTGTAGTTGGTCCTTATTTGTACTTTGAGTAATTTTTATTCTTTCGTCAACTCTACTTAATTAATAGTGATTTCGTAGGTCAAGGGTGTACAAACTGCGGCCCGCAAGAAAAAATGTGCGGCCCACGGAGAAGAGCCAATTTTGAAAGGTGTGCCCTCGAAACGAGATTTTAGTTCATTCATTCTGGTACGTGCGAGCAATACCAATCTCTTTGCGTCGCAAAGCCTATACCAGTACCTGGGCGCCACTGCCATATTAGAAAGACTGGCCAGCAAAGTCCGACGCTCCCGAAGTATGTGTCCAAGATGGCGCACTACCTGAACCCCAACCTGTTACACATACTATGTTCAGGTTAAACGCCATCTTGGTGCACATACTTCTGGAGGTCCCAAAATCCTGTTGAAAAATACACAATGTTATAAAAAACGTATTTCTCAGTGAATTCGTTTTAAGTCGGTGCGACAATAAATTTGAATAGCAGTTTCTCTAGACATTTATTCGTTTTAACTCATCATTCCCGCATAGACCCCTAACAATGTCCTAAAATCAACAAAACAAAAAAAAAATTGTGTCTGGAACTACTAGCAAGGCTATTTCTTAAATGAAGGTGAGGCCCACGGCTTTACCCAGTGACCTGTTCCTGGCCCTTCTGTAATAAAGGCACACCCCTGGACTCTACTAGATATAAACAGTAATTATATAAATACATAGGTCATACAAAAAAGAAGAAATGAGGTTACCAAGAAATTCAACTGCCTGATGGACCAATTTGAAACAAATCTGAGACCAACGAAGTAAACGATCTCCCAAATACAACTGGAGGAATGTCATAACCTTGCATTGAACAAACATCCGTTTAAGAGCCTCTCTCTGCCTCCCATTATTGGAATCATAATTGCAAATAAATTAGTGAACAATGCCGTTTTGCCCTTTGCTGAGTGTATTATTATTGGGTCGGTACTGAGAGGATGAGTGGCAGATCAGCCGTAATTTACCACGTAATTCAATTTTCTGTTCAGCAATACGGTTTTTTGTTGAATTTTATATTTCGTTTTAGTCTTATCGAGTTTTTTTTTTATTCTCGCTCCAAGGAATTATTGCTTATTGCAGGAATTATTATGTCTTGCGTCGATAACAATGCAATGCAGCCGGCGCAGCACATTCCGAACAATACCGCAGGGTGGAATGTGGTTGCAGTTGGTCGAGCTCAGGGGATCAAACTCTTTAATACTAGCACGGAGTCAATCTCTTAAATACAACTGGAGGAATGTCATAACATTGCATTGAACAAACATCTGTTTAAGAGTTGCCTCTCTCTGCCTCCCGTAAATGGAAGCATAACTCTAGTAATAACATCAATCCCCCAGACAGAAAAGGTGAAACACGAGAATATGCAAGCACATTGGTTTCATTAAAGTTCCTGGGGAACGTGGAGATATTTTGCAATGAATGAAGATAGAAAAACACTGAGCTATACAGTGTTTGTCTTCGCTCGCTAATAAAATTTGATAATCTCTTCGGAGGTAGAATCAGTGAATAACACATGTCATGCACCAGTTTAATACTCAAAAACAATTTGATCGGGATTGGCAATAGACGAATAGGACAATATTCACATTCCGACAATCAATGTGTTTAACAGCGGAAACAACAGTATATATCCAATTTTTTCAATCCGGTAAGGAGAGTCACACAAATATTTCTGTGATCAATTTCAATAGAACAACTTGGTAATTGCGCGGGAAACCATGCTGGTTATCATCAAAACTTCATTAAAGTAAGTTTATACTGATTTAAATGAAGAGCGCAGTTAATTTAAAACAAATTGGTGAACAATACCGTTTTGTCCTTTGCTGAGTGTATTAATATTGGGTCGGTTGTGAGAGGATGAGTGGCAGATCAGCCGTAATTTACCACGTAATCCAATTTTCTGTTCAGCAATACGGGTTTTTGTTGAATTTCATATTTCGTTTCAGTCTTATCTAGTTTTTTTGATTCTTGTCCCCAGGAATTATTGCTTATTGCAGGAATTACTATGTCTTGAGTCGATAACAATGCAATGCAGCCGGCGCAGCACATTCCGAACAATACTACAGGGTGGAATGTGGTTGCAGTTGGTAGAGCTCAAGGGAACAAACTCTTTAACACTAGCACGGAGTCAATCTCTTAAATACAACTGGAGGAATGTCATAACATTACATTAAACAAACATTCGTTTAAGAGTTGCCTCCCTCTGCCCTCACATAAATGAAAGCATAACTCTAGTAATAACATCAAATCCCCAAGACAGAAAAAGTGAAACGCGAGAATATGCAAGCACATTGATTTCAATAAATTTTCTGGGGAACGTGGAAATATTTTGCAATGAATGAAGATAGAAAAACACTGAGCTATACAGTGTTTGTCTTCGCTCGCTAATAAAAGTTGACAATCTCTTCGGAGGTAAAATCAATGAATGACAAACACATGTCATGCACCAGTTTAATATTCAAAAACACTTTGATCGGGATTGGCAAGAGACGAATAGGACAATATTCAGATTCCGACAATCAATGTGTTTAACAGCGGAAACAACAGTATATTTCCAATTTTTTCAATCCGGTAAGAAGAGTCACACAAACATTTCTTGATCAATTTCAATAGAACAGCTTGGTAATTGAGCGGGAAACCATGCTGGGTATCATCAAAACCTCATTAAATTAAGTTAATACTGATTTAAATCAAGATCAAGAATTAATTTTAAAAAAATTGGTAAACAATACCGTTTTGTCCTTTGCTGAGTGAGAGGATGAGTGGCAGATCAGCCGTAATTTACCACGTAATCCAATTTTCTGTTCGGCAATACGGGTTTTTGTTGAATTTCATATTTCGTTTGAGTCTTATCGAGTTTTTTCATTTTTGTCCCCAGGAATTATTGCTTATTACAGGAATCATTATGTCTTACGTCGATAACAATGCAATGCAGCCGGCGCAGCACATTCCGAACAATACCACAGGGTGAAATGTGGTTACAGTTGGTCGAGCTCAGGGGAACAAATTCTTTAATACTAGCACGGAGTCAATCCGCGATCTTTGGGGGCTGGGGCTAAAATACAAGTGTACATGGCATATCGAAATTAATTTGTTTGGATGAGTCTCAGTCATTTGTCATATAGCTCTGAGAGGTGGAAAGGATACTAGTGCCATGCTATGGACTGTTTTTAACTGAGGTTGCAACAATACATGGTCAGGGTATGTTGAACAGGAATTAAGTAGGCGAGGGTGAGACAGACTATCATAATCTATATATGATGTAAGGTGATTCGTATATCGTATAAAAAATAAAATAAAACCCAGACTACAATATAATAATTCAAGTTGAATTTTCGTTTAGTATATATGATATATATGTTTTACTTGGATATATATTATTTGCTGATAGCAATATTAGAGTATTTCGATATTCAGGGAGTCTTGGGAGGTTTTAGATAAGCGTATTATTGCCTGAATAATTTTATTCTGCTGGGAATGCTCTTACAATAAACCACGATCGTTTCATTTGATATCCGATTGCAGATATATTAACAGTATTAAATAAAAATAAAATATTTTTTAGTTTAGTTAATTTGTGGAGGAATGTTTTAATATGATCAATATAAGGCACTTTTATTAATCTGAATATGAATAATGTGATTGTATTAATTAGTACGCAAATATACGCAATTTCCCATTTTTGTTTTCAGACGTCTAAGTTGTATGTGATAATTTGTAGGTCAAACTGATGTTGTGTCGGAATAAAGTAGAAGAGTCGGAGTAAAAATTATTTTACCTTCATTATATCCCGTGGTTTTACAGACCAGTATTTACTATAGTTTACCATATAAATAAAAATCTGATTATAGCTATTGATTAACGCATTATGGAATCGGTAAAAGAACAATTTCAAGCATTAGATTTTGCCATATTTGGAGGTATATATACTTTTTATAATATTCTCATCGAAGTTTTTTCGTTTTTGTATTTTCTAGTATTAGATGTTGTCGTTCACGGCAGTACTTGATGATTCAAAAGCAAGAACACGCCTCAAATTTGGATGTGCTAGAGCTAGACATATCTCGGCTGCTTAGAATAAAATTCTGTAATACAGTTGCATGCACAAACAGCAAGGAAGTATAATTTACGATATCCCTTGGATATTGTGGAAAATCGTTCAGAACATATTTCAAGTCATTGGTTTTTATTGTGATACATACAAACAAACAAAATTCCCGAAAATAAATATTGGATAATCAGTTTAACCAATCCATGTCAATGCTCTATAGCAGGGCTACTCTACTATTTTTATCGAAGATCCTCATACGAAACTTCAAAATGATTTGGGTCCGGTCTTTCCATAAATTATATTTCGGCATCCTTCATTATGGTGTTATATCATTTTATAAAAGAAAACTACAGAAGTGGTGCTAATGATCCAAAATAAAGAATTAGGTGCGGTCCGAATCAAATACTCGAAAGGTCCGAAATTGGACGGCGGTCCGCCAGTTGAGTAGCCCTGATCTATAAATATAAATAAGCTTGCTAAAATAATTTTATTTCGAATGGTATTGCAAATCATATCATTTATTTTCAGCTGTTTTCATTCTATCTGCTACTGTTGGAATTCTCTTTGGATATAAAGATCGCAAAAGCAAATCTACCGACAACTATTATTTTGGTGGAAGAAAAATATCACCGGTAAAATATTATGGGTTGAAGTACCATCATATTTATATATTTCTTCATTGTCATTTATCAATTCACAACTGAAGTGCGGAATGCACCAGAATAGTTCATTTTGCGCTGCGATTAGTTGATACTCTTCAGTCGTAAACAAATGATCTTTATTGCATTATATTCAAGCTTGCATCGCGAGATATGCATATTCTTAAGTTCTATCGCTAGAAATCATGATGAACATTGTAACGATGATGATGTAGGGCAATTATTTGCTACAATGTTTGTGAATAAATCGTTTGTAGGTGTACACTTATATTCGAGTGAGATCTATGATGTGATATGCTTCACCTATTTAACCCGGGGGATAGGAAAGCCAATAAGACGTCTTAATCATATGGTGAACCACGGTCTCTCATCCGGTTACGCAGTCTATGACGGATATGGGATCAATTGACCATTGAGGTTCTTAATTTCTAGATACCAGTTGCAGTATCAATTGCGGTTTCGTTCGTTTCAGCCATAACAGTAATTGGAGTGCCGGTGGAAGTCTACATGTTTGGCACTGTGTTTATATGGTACAACGTATCTCTTCTTATGACAAATGCTGTGGCATTGATATATTATATACCCGTGTTTCATAGGCTTCAGCTCAACAGTGTATATGAGGTACAGTACAGACTAATTTATATTTCTCTACCTTTATTACAATGTTAGAGAGATTCGAGACACTGTTTTCAATAGCCCGAAGTTACTCGATCAACTGTAACGAATTGAACTCGGTATCGTCAAACCCGGCGATTTTAGAAGTGGGGGGGGGGGGTATCGCCCTCAGTGGCGAAAGAGATAAATCAGTGAGCGAAAACCCCGAAGTGGGCGACAGAGGGGCGATTGCATATTTTCGAAAAGTCAGAATTCACGGAGTCACGGTCATGGAGATATTCATTTCACTGGCGCGTCCGTTCGAAGTAGATCATGACGACAAGGGATCTTTTGTGTCATATTCGGTATTTTCATATTTATTTTATTTCTGAGTAGTGTATAAAGTAGCTTAACAAATTTTCAGAATCCTTTTTGTCAGAAGCGCAAAGTTTTCTAATAATAAGTTACTCTCATTCAGCGATGCAGCCAGGGGAATCGAACCACCACCCCCACCCTCTTTTGAAATGTCGGGAGGTACGAACTGTCGCCAATAACCCGTGCAATTTGCACAAGATAAATTTTGTTGAAATCGCCGATTGTTATTGCCAGCGTGGCGTGGGTATTCAGACCGTGGACATCGGTATTATACCAGTAAACTATATTTCCACGAATTCTCCCTATCTCACAAGTCTCGCCAGGAACTGTGCCTGCAGTGTGAAAAACTCATTATTATGCGATCATACGAAGCGCTAAAAATAACCAATAGATTGAATCCGCAACTTAAATTTCCGAAGGAAAATGAGGCAGTGAATTTTAAAACTAAAAAGCGGTGTTACAATATATATATATTAAAAATATAGGGATAAACATTATAGTTTTTGTTTTAAGATCGCGCCAGATCATAATCGCTATTTTAGACGTTGAAAATCGCCTAAATTCGGCACACATTGTGTTCGGTCGGATACTATATCATAGTCACTGAAGTTTAGCCATGCAAATTAATTATCCAATGTCGAACTATCGCCGTGCTGCACTGGACTTTTTCTCCGGATTATGATGGTGACATACAAGCTAATCAACGTAAAACATGTCCACTAAAATTTTATTGTACTGTAAATTTTTCTGAAATCTCTATCTTAAAAATATTCTTAAGCGACAGTCAGCGTTCTGAGAACAGATCAAATTTGATAAATTCCCACGATCGCAAAAATTCCGATTCATATCTAATTATGTATAATCCGACAGTTTACCAAGTATTTTTATATGCGTGGATTGCCTTAATATTTTAAAGCAGCGTTTAAACTTTTTTTAATAAGCTTTTTTTATTGGTGTCTGATTACATAAACTTTACAAACTTTACTCAGTGAAATTAAATAATATTTATAATAAAATAAACATGGATATGACGTTAAAAACTGTCACTAAATATTATTGAGTTGTGAAACGGCCATAGTTTAGATTTGCCATATGAAAGTATAATTCCTCAACAAGTCGAAAATGAATCAAATATTAAAGCAGTACACATCTCCGACTTGTTGTGTTGCGACTACTTTATTCGTTGAATAACATGTCAAGTACATTTTTTCGCTTTCCGCTTTTTTCATTGATATTGGTACAAATTGGAAACATGGTCCTATTCTTCTGTCCTATGTTTTACTGGCATATATATTTTTGCGGATGCAATGCATTAAAAGAAAATGTGTCAATTATTATAATAAAGAGTAAAGTTTATAAAAATGTTTTAGACTGGGAGGCGAGAAGTCCAGCGTTCTGTTTACACATAATTATCTCCCATAGTATTCGAATCCAAGCAGGGTTAATTGACGTCCGATGACAAACGTTTTCCTTCCGCTTAGCAACATGCGTCTTGATGTCTCAACAAAACTATGATTGCATATTTATCCATAACATCTTTAATATAAATTGTTATTGCTTTTTATTTCAGTACTTAGAACTTCGATTTCATCCAGTACTTCGGAAGATAACTTCAGTGATGGGAATGATAAACACGGTAATTTTTTCGTATATATTATTAGTTTTTATGATTCTGTGTCGATCTCATAAATAGTTCTAGGCGATGGTACATATTCGCAATGAATTGCAATGTATCACATTGTTATGTATATCATATTACAATTATATTATCGAATACTTACTTTTCCGCAGCAATAACTTGGCATAGGCATGTCGAGTTTTTCGAATCTAAAATGTATATATATTAATGATCAAGATGGTATCATTTTGTAGAAATAATTTTTGACAGCAGAAGTCAAAAAGCAACCTGTTACATGTCTGCGCGACATTTTATTTAAAAAAATCAATAAACCGGTCGGATAAACGATAAATATGATACCGTAAGTCTTGTTCATGATATGTGCCATTGTCTAAATTACAAAAATATACCGATCATAGCGTCATTAGAAAAATTGCAATAACTATTTGCTTGGACACGAAGTGGACTGATGGATCGTTTTGTTATTAGGTAGTTCTTGTTCTTCTTCTTGTTGTGAAGAATCGCTTTGTTCTTTAACTACTGGATCAATTGCTATGAAATTTACAGTGATTGAAGATTGTTGTTGTTGCAAAAAGTCTATTAATCTTTTCACCCTAAATTTCCTATGAGATCTGATATTCGATCCAAAATTTCGCTGTATTATTTTATTCATGGTTTTTAATTGATCAAACGTGACGGCCGTCTTCCGTTTTGATTTTGCAAAGTCGTGCTACGCGAAAGTTAAAGGTTATTACTCTAATGATAAACCACGGTAGGCACGATACGGTGAACTACTTCGTTTTGGCATTTCTGTGCAGATATTTGAGCACGGCTTGTTTAACACTGTACGTACATGACGTCCAAGTCTCCTTAAGCCGACAATGCGATAATTTTACGACCAGGTTTGCAGCTCCCAGTTTTCTGTTCTTGAGATGACATCTAAGCTAGTAGACGTAAGCTGATCGCTTGTTTGATGTGATGTGAAAGCGCTTCAACATTACTATTTAAAACACAGTTTTGGTTCTACGTAAAATATTGTTAAAATAATTTGGAATTCATTCTTGCAGAAAAATATTATAAAAAATATAATTTTTCATCAAAATCATCTCACAGTATTGCAGTCCAACAATACCATAGCACATTTCAAAAAATGTTATATATTTTCTAATATAACTTGAATCGAAATTGAATATGAGTTGACGTGTTTTCTAATGTATATTATATTTTCAATCTAGATGTTCTATCTTGGACTTACGGTGTATATTCCGTCTCTTGCATTAAGCGCAGTGACACCAATGAATTTGTACTTAACTATTGCTATAACCAGCGCAACTTGTACATTCTATACGACCGTAGTAAGTATTATTACAATAATTTCAATTTATGTTAACGTCTGGTTTTGTGTTAGTACACTAATGCTACATTTCATCTTCGCAATTATACAGTATCGATAATATCAAACAAAGTAAGGTACTTGTTTTTTTTATTTAGACGTTAGACGACCGCAGCGTTTAGAAAATTATGTATTAGATTTATGCAAATCTTACCATGTTAAAGTAGCTTACGCAGCGACATACATGGGTAAATATGACGTTCAATTTGGTCTTATCAATCTTATCCTAGGCTCATCTATCGTTGTAGAACTATAAGTTCGGCATGTTTTTAATGGAGGAACCTGTTATTGAGATCGATAAAGATTGAATCCCATCACTGGGTACATACTACCAAATCGCAGTCCTCCAATTAATTTTAAATTTAAGTCGTGTATCATTCATTAGAAAAAAAAATCGGGACGTTAGAAAGACTTCAATTTCTATCTCATACATTCGAAAAATCTTGAGAATCATTTATTGTGAAGGCAATATAATTGACGGTGACTTGGTGCTGTTTAATGATGGGTTCTTTGTAATTATTTTCTTTGTATTTACTCTATTCTTTGTATTTTTATTCAGGGAGGAATGAAAGCTGTTATTTGGACAGATGTTTTTCAGTTTTTATTTATGATTGTAGGGACGTTATCAATTCTTATCAAAGGAATACTTGTCGTTGGGGGATTTGATATTATTTTATCTGCTGCGGAACGAGGACAACGGAACAACTTTTTGACGTACCGTTGTGAATTATTAATATTTTTTGTAATGCCTGGCTTAGATAAAAACAATTTATATACAAATGACTGCAATACATTTCGAAAAACGTTTCCCCATGTAGATGGTTCATTTTATGAACTCCTCCTACCGGTGAATAGGTTAAAACCTATACTTCCTACTACCACTCACCTTGGCAATACCACTGGGCGATAAATCTGCATCTGGTATAGGAACGTGGAAGACTGTCGTTACATAGTTTGTTTTTTCATCACCCGTTTTCACGACATCACTCTGAACAGGTCTATTAAGGCCGTTGGTTACGTAATACCGTTACGTCATTGGTACGTACGGAGCTACCATTTTCAGACGGAATCTTTGTTGTTCGACATTGACGTAATTACTTTATTGATTGAAATCGAGATCTCCGACGTCGAAATTGTAAAGTATGGTGACCGTACATTCGAACCCACGTACATTTGAACCCATGTGTATATCCACGGGTTCAATCTATATGCGGGTGCTAAAACCCATGGGTTAGGGTTAGTATGGGTTCAACTATCCGAAAAACAAAAAAAATTCAGTAGGTGCAATAGCATACAGGTGCAATTGTCATGGGTTCAAATGTACGTGGGTTCAAACGTAATGGAACCGTAAAGTATACCATGCCATCAAATACACAACCCTGATTAGGCTTAGAGCAACTCGGTGTGCAGTATTCTTGAGCCAAAGTATTAGAGCAGTCGTGGCTGTAAGTTCGTTAGATTAATTTGAATATTGACAATAATTAATTTGTGAGCTATAGGAATATTTTCCAAGGAAAGTACATACTGTAAAAAAAATTTGTTTCGTTTCATTCCATGGCATTATTATTGGAAAACTATTATGATATGTTTGTCTTGATATCCGTATAAGTAAATTAGGATGGCATGGGATACTACGGCGCGCGGGCCAAATCCGGCCCGCTAGGTAATTCAATCTGGTCCGCCTGATGCTGCCACAACCAAACTGAAACTAAATTTTGATGTTTTAGTTAAAAATAGCTCAAGGAATTTGTTGAGCTTGCGGTTAAATATTTAGTTTTGGCACGAGGTTCATTGTTTTCCACTATTGCTTTCGTAACACTGTAAACATTTAGTTTTGGCACGAGGTTTATTGTTTTACACTATTGCTTTCGTAACACTGTAAACATTTAGTTTTGGCACAAGGTTTATTGTTTTCCACTATTGCTTTCGCAACACTGTAAACGTTGTTCATAAAATGTAACTCTTTACGTCATACTTACATAGCCCGCCAGTCTAGGTGGGCAAAATTTTTGGCCCCTGATCCAAAAACCGTGCCCACCCCTGCTCTAAAACAATGTATATAATTATAAGTTACACAGTGAGTTTGGTATATCTAAACTTCTAAAGTGTTGGGAATCTGAGTCTTGAGTTTATCAATAATTCAGGCAAAAAGAATCACAAATCTCCCGGCCTCCGTAACGGTTTGCATTTATTGCGGAAAATAATTCAATATAGCAAAGTCGAGGAACTTTTCTTTTGCTAAAAGTATATCTTCTGTAATCATTTATAAAACCTTTCCGTATTGAATAAATTTATACAAAATAAATCCAGTTAGAGAAAATTAATATAATAATGTTATTTTTTCTGAATACTGGGGGCCATTCATAAAACGAAGACTAAATATGTTAATTTTACTTCACGAAGATTGGACCCTGATCCCAGAATACGTAGTTCTGCCTGGTCAATTACGTTTGGATTTTTCTTTGTTACCTGCTATGAGACAGTTTGCAATCAGATATTTATTCAACGCTGGCTTTCCTGTCGAACTATTAAGAACTCTAGAATGTGAGTAAATTCTTTTTATAGTATTTGAATCAAATAATAAAGATATATCAACTTTTCCAAAAATTGAAATCAAAGCGTAATTTATTTTGTAAAATGTTGTTTAAAGTTATTGGGATAACGAGGATCAAATTTTATGATCTTGAGTGTTTTATAAAATTTAAGCCTGACAGTTTCCATTTTATATTAAACCTCCGTTTGTTTCTTGCTCAGACTAATTGCTATTTTTCAGTGCCGTTGGCGTGAGTATCATTCCTCTTATCTTGTTATCTATGATATCTATCGCAAGTGGGATAGTAATGTACGCATACTACGAAGGCTGTGATCCTTTGTTATCTAAGAATATATACAAAATTGACCAGATTATGCCCCGTTTTGCGGTTGATTTATTTCATGACACACCCGGAATGGCGGGATTATTTGTAGCTGCTGCATTCTGCGGAACTCTCAGGTAAACCATTTGTTTTGCTCGTTATTGTACTAAGTATTAGCTATTTTCAAAATTTTCGATATTTCAACTTAAAAAAGCCAATTACGAGTTATACGCCAATGCGTTCAACATTATGTTAGTTAGTCATCTACGCATCGGAAATATTTCGAGTTCAATCAGTCCTTCGATCAAAATCCCTAGCATTTTTATGGTTATTGCAAGCCCACGATTTGGCTCTCGATGTAACGCATTGAGTGGTTTTCGAATGAAAATTCGATTCAGTAACTTTCAGTATCCAATTTGTAGCAAACCTTGTTTAGACCAAATATGCTGCTAGATTTAGTGTTTATGCTATGATATAGGAAATATTGTTATGATTAAACATTGTATGTTAACATATACAGTGAACGATTTATCCTTAAAATCGAGAACTTTTACTGCAAAACTATTAACGAGATGGCTATCAGAGACCGCCGACTTATCGATCTAGCAGCGTGTATCCCTCTGACTGAATAGCTAAACCGCGTGTCCAATCACTAATTAATTAATAACTCGCTAATTATACGACATAATTCAACCAAAATTAATAGGCTTCTGGTTCGAGATATGATGAATGCACATGCAGATGAATTTAGGGCAGATTCAACCTCGCTTTCGTGTGATATCGCGTAACATACGAAAGTGTCTAACAGACAGACAAACAAACAAACAAATATCTATCAACATACTTACCGATCAAGATCGATAGGTAACAAATATTTGACGTGAAATAAAATTGCACATTGATATTTATTCGATGTAAGCTATTTCTTTAAATTTACAGTACAGTGTCATCTGGTGTTAATGCTTTGTCATCGCTTTTAGTAATGGATTTCATCTTACCCAAGTTTCAAAATTTAACGCCAAGAAGAAAACTTATAATTAGCAAGACGGCTAGTAAGTTTTTTCTTTTCTTTTGCATGTAGACATGACTTCAGTCAAGTAATTTACCTGAACAGACATTTATAGTATTATTATATATTATGGATTGTATGAGAAAAGAATATGGCCGATTAATACAAATATGACCAATATTATTTGAGGTAAAATAAATAGGATTTTCTTTAATCATCCATACAAATATAAAACTTGGTTCTATTTATATATTGGAGTGGAGCATTTTTTGTTTTGTTTTCAGGTCTATTCTTTGGAGCACTCGTCATGTTATTGGCGTATCTCCTTTCTCTTTCACAGTCGAACGTTATGCAAGCAGTGTCATCAATTGTCGGTTTTATTGGTGGTCCAATTCTTGGGTTATTCACAATGGGTATATTTATGCCATGGATAGATTACAAGGTGAGATGATATTTTAGAAAATGTATATTTTTCACTAGTTAGTATATTGAACAGTCCAAAGTTAGTTTTTAATATTAGACATTCAATATTAGATCACCATTTACATAATTCACATCATTTACATAATTCACGTTTTCAAAAGGGCTCATTTGGGGGACTTCTACTAGGACTCGCTTGTACAGGGTGGATTGGAATATCGGCTATGGTGTATTCAGTAGGAAATTCATCTGCGTTGCCTTTATCTACACAAGCCTGCAATATCACAACGTTAACAAACACGACATTGGACAAAGTTTTCACAATATATAATACTACTCTGTATACGGAGACTACTGAAAAGTATGTACAGTGATTCTCATTTTACATAAATTTGGATCATTTTGTTATTATTATTGGGGCATATTACGTTCCGATGTCCGCCATCTTGGTTCGCATACTTCGGGAGCACCTTATTTTCAGTATATATGTTGTTGTTGGTGGTGTATTCTTCTTTTTGTTTTTGCCATTGTATTTATATTTATATATATTTACTTATATTTAACTACTGGACCAATTGCTTTGAAATTTTCAGTGGTTAAAGATTGTTAATGTCCCTAGGAGGTTATTATATATTTGTATTTATTTCCAAAATTTCTGTGGACACAATGGTATTCTTATTCACCTTGGCGTATTGTGTGGTGACGTCAACAAATATATAGTAAAATAGAAATAAAAATAATTGTAGCGGTTCCGCAAAAGCATGTCAGCGGATCTGGTGCTTAGCCAAAGTCGGAAGTTTTTTTTATAGGATACGGTAGGCTACGGTTCCGGCACTGTTGAAGATTTAGTAATACTGTTGTGACTCGGATTATATGGAATTTCTATTCACGTTGAAACTTGTAGCATGAATCATCGCCACAAGACCCGGAAAAGCTAGGCTGGTGCTGATACCTTTACCTGTATCGCGACCTCATTTTAGGGGATATCGTGCACAGCGAAAGTCGGCGGATCTCGTGCTTCGCAAAAGTCGTTAAGACTGTGGTAACGGTAGTCTATTCTATTCTATAGTGACGAATACCCGCGTCCTACTTCGTTTTGGATTTCGTTTCCATATATTTGAGCATCGCTCTATTGATTTCAAGTCAAGTAGGCGGTGGATAATTCAATATTTTCAAAATTTGTCATCTCTTTCCAATTCCGTTTCAGAAGTTCACCAAGCCTTTTTATTGCAATATACTCGATCTCGCCATTTCTCTATGGAGTTCTGGGATGTACAATGACACTGGTAGGAGCTCATGTAACTTCGATATTCACGGGTAAGTTTACTGGTTAATGTAGGGAAATGTATAAGAATATACACGGATTTTTATAAATGAGTTTATAGTGATGCTGGATCTTATTAACTTTGTATTGGCCCAGAAAATTCTATTGGTAATCCGGTCAAATAAAACAGCTATTGTCATATAAAAATGGGTTTTCGTTGTAAGTGAAATTCTACAAACATTATTAAATAACTCAAAGATTATTAAGAAGTTTATGTGAGATTATAGAAACAAAATAAAATTGTCAATAAATATGTTTAAGTAGATATTAATTTCAAACAGGAACTTGGCACAAAAACAGTTTCATTTTCAAACGGTGAACGCACAAAAAGTATATTCAAGTTTCTGAAATAAGTGTATGAGTATTTGGTTTCATTAGATGAGCTAAATTGGCAGAAGAATAAGTGACTTGTTTCAATATATCTTTATATGTTAAACAATATATTTAGTGAATATGGAATTGGTTTTTTGATTGTAAAACCATATGAATCTTCATATGTTCTATTTCAAAATAAATGTTTTCATTTCAATCCAGGTTTCAGCAACCCTAAAAATGCCAAGGAAAAACTTTTTGTTCCTTTGATTGACAATGAAATCCTTCCAGAAAAAATGCGAATATACTTCAGGTTCGGTGTTCCACTCCCTCAAGCAACGAAATCGGGTAACAATGATATACCGCCTGAGGAGATGAAGATGCTTCGTACAACAGAACAAAAGGCTGACATGGAAAACTTCCAACAAACATTGCAGCCAGAATGATAGTCACAACGGGGAATAAGCTTAGTAATTCAAAACATTGTTTGGAATTTTTTTCGTCATTTTCTATGAATACCTTCTCAGAGCATTATAAAGAGTTTTTTTTTTCAAAAAAGGAACAGGGCCACTGACGTTGATATACAAAGATTGAAGCGACGCTACGATAAATGAATATTCGGCCTTTAGTTGATCTCGTAGAGGTAATCGCGTAGATAGTAAACCGGGGGTCTAGTGTATAGTATATTTCTATTGCACGTGGCGTCACTTTCACAAATTTTATTCTGTATTGCATCGTCTGACAAAGGTCAGACATTCGGATGCCTGTTACAGTGTTCTTTCTGTCGCTGCATACATATCCACAGACAAAGACTAACACAACACCATAGACCAGGGATGGCGAACCTTTTTCAATGAATGGGTCAAAAATTATATTTTTATCGCGGAACAGAAGAGAGTGGGTCAGCACAGACATATATTTAATCAATGTTTGTATCTATAAGAACTTCTGAAACAAATCATGATACAGCGCTTGTTAATGTTGATGTTGGTGTAATTTAGCGGTTGTTAATGTTGGTGTAAGTTAGGGCTTTACTTATACAGCACTTGTATCATGGACTTTTTATGGCACTCGAATTTATCCAATTAGAGTACGCATATGAATTACTTTTAGGATGATGCGGCAAATTATTTCAAAGTTCCAAAGAGTTTGGAGGGAATTCCACTCTGATAGTGTTATATTTTTCTATCAGCTTTAACCATATTAAAAGCAATTTTACACTGCCCCATTGTTAACTAGATTTTTATTTCAAGTCTGAAAGATTTTGTATTCTCAACAGCATTGTAGGCGAGAAACTAATAAAATGCAAAGTAGCATATAGTTCTCGTATATCCCCTAAAACTGTCGGCAGATGCACTTCTGAAAGAGACAAGACGTTGCGAGAAGTGAACATCAATTGCATTGTTATGTCATAAACGATGTCAGAGCCAATAGCTGAATAACGGCACGCAACGGTGCAGACATGCGTCCAGGATTATGGGTTTTGAAAATTAACATACCGAAAAATTAACAATTTGAATATAAGCGATCGCAGTCCTGACTGCCCAACTGACGGTACATTATAATAGTTTAGTTATTGTTAGATTAATTTGAGGCCGGTTTTATCACTGATATGTTAGCATTTTATTCGTGCCTTAGCGGGTCACGAATAAAACGCGGTGGGTCACTTTGTGACCCGCGGGTCAGTGGTTCGCCATCCCTGCCATAGACAATGAGAAAGGAACAGTATAGATAGGAGAACGCTAATCAACTATATATGCCTATGAATAGCTTGGTGATTTTAGGTGCCTGCTCGGAACAACGCCAAGTTAAGATGTGTTTAAAACTGTTCAATCAAGACATTCACTTCTCTGCATATCCGTGAATCAGGCTAATACGCAGTTTTCGTGAGATGTTAGCGTCATCTGTAAGATTATAGAAGTCTGCTATAAATTTGTTTATGTCAGCCAAAGCACCCCATTTACCAAGATGTTTGACCCAAGTTGTTTCTATCAAAAATGCCCCCAGCAATTGCAATGGGAAAATATTCTCACCTACAAGAATTGTTGTTATTGTCATGTGATCAAATCTCTGGAAGTTATATTGAACCTAAACAGTGTACCAGGATCAGACCCAATCGCGATCCTATATTCTCGCGCTATGGAAACGGTACAGCTATAGTCGGGGGCAATTTTCTGATTTACAGTTCTTGTAAACTACAACAAACTTTAAGTGATACAAATACAAGAGATAAGAAACCAATGCCAAATACATGTGTACGAAGGCCAAGAAACCGGTCCGGTCGGGATACCAGTGCAGATCGTCTGTCAAATACATAAAACAATACAAATAGTTACGAGTAGTTTTATCGCTGACAGTAAAATATGGCGCGGCGGTGTGGCTCAACGGGCTAAGCGTTAGGAATACGCTCGCCACCGCACCTCTAATTACTCTGCGTGGGTTCGCAGGTTCGAATCCCATGCAGGGATGGTTATGTGCGAGAGGATTGCTGGACTCCTCGCCGTCGTTGGGTGGTTCACGTAACCGCTGGTCGGTTACGGCTTCCTCCACCACCAAGTCCATGCTTCCGAAAACAAATAATACAGTAAAACTAATCCCATACTCGACTTGGAATGGTAACCGGACGAGAGGCCGTGGTTCGCCATATGGATAAGCCGTCTTATCGGCTTTCCTCTCCCCCGGGATAAATATGTAAATCCTATCCTATCTATTATTGTAAATTCGAACCCCTTATTCCCATCTAAGGTTAAAGCAGGGGTGTGAAACTTTTACTACAAGAGGGCCAGGTACAAGTAACTGGGTGAAGCCGCGGGCCGCACATTTACCTAAGATAGAACTTCCAATGCGGCCCGCGAACGCTTAATATATAGTAATTGTAATCCTTGATAAGACAAAGACTACTAGAAGAGAATTCGCTTGAGAACAAAACTGCCCTTGCAAAAGTGAATATGTTAGACTGAGCCACGGAACAGTCTTATATTTAATTGATTAATTGCTGTTTTTCTTGGTAAACAAACAAAGTTAAAAAGTAAACAACAAACATTAAAACTCAAAAACTAATTTCGGGCATTGATTGTTTTGTAACGAAGTTGGTTCGTATTTAGAAAGTCTTCATTTGAAAATTTGTAATTCTGATCATTTGATAATAATAGTCAGTCATATAATTAACTTAGTTCTAATACCAATTACCGACCCAAAATCTTGTATGCAGACATCTCGGCTGTGATAAACTTGTCTTATTTTCAGTCCAGATAACTCTGTTTCTTTATGATTATCATGACCGTCTTCTGAATATATCACCTTCCCAGATCTCAGATCCCAGAAAAGTAGATAACGGTCCTTGGTCGTAGCTCCATTATGAATCCCATTCTCTTCCCCTGAAAAACATTGAAACATGCTCTCAATTTTTATACATGGTAAAAAATGTTATCAACTGCCAGTCCATTTGAAAAAAGGAAAAATCATCTCGCACGTTTCGTTTACTTAGGATAGTTTTAAATAATTATCCCTATGAAAGCCCATAAGACGGCTTAACCATATAACGAACCACGGCCTCACGCCCGGTTACCATTCTATGTCAGGTATGGGATTAGTTAGTTATTTTGTATTTGGAAGCATGGACTTGATGAGAGAGGAAGCCGTAACCGACCAGCGGTTACGTGAACCACCCTACGGCAGCGAGGAGTCGAGCGATTCTCTTGCTCATAACTAGTTAACCACCCCTGCATGGGATCCGAATCTGCGAGCCCGCGCAGAGTAATCAGGGGTGCGAGCACGATGAGCCACAACGCCGCGCCTTAAAAATTGAATCTTTTTTTGTATCTGAAATGTGCTGTTTTCAGTAATAAAAGAAACTGTCGCTGTGAAAATGTATCTGGTTACCTCATTGTCATTTTTCAGATGCCCACTCGCCACCGCTAAATCAGTCAGCTGGCCGTGTGGTTGGTCACGTTTCTTTGGGTGTTTCCCCTTTTTTAAGTAGGTGATTTCCGAATAATAATGATTCAGTTTCGTAAGTTTCCATAATCTCGTAAGCGGGATTGTCATCGCTAGGCTGTACGTGTACTTTGAGGAGTAATCTATTTAAAAAAAAAATTGAAAAACAACATTACACAAAAAACATATCCCAAGAAAGTGGCTTATAAGATTCAGGTGCACTAGAATTGTCAGTCCTGTTCTTAGAACAACATGTCACAAGACTGCCAGACAGTTCTGCAAAAAGACTGCAATTACCATACAGAGTTCAGGAGTTTGGTTCTAGCATTTTTATGGGTGATAGAGTTCTGGAGTTTGCATGATTTAAGATCGTTTTTGTTTACATCACTTCTACTCAAAATTAAATGAGTTGAGTGTAATGTGGAATTTATAATCCTTAACCTATGTCTGTATGTACAGTCAGTGAATTCATGTATTACAAATATAAAACAACTTAAATTGATAATGGTTAAACCAAAACAGTTCAAACTTATCCTCAATGACGAAAAAACAGTTTATTTCCCAGGAAATATGATCAGTGGCCAACTGGTCATAGAACTTGACAATCCTATGAAAATGGAAGGTAAAATAAACATTTCAATATTAAACTATCATTAATTGTGTAGAGTGTTGTATTATATGACAAAATTCATGAAACAAATTTTCGGGAGTCAACATACAGATACAGGCATAACATATAGGCCTAATCAAGCACTGTTTGGCAGTTCATTGGCCGAAACACGTTTTCATTTTTCTGATATATATAAGTGTGCCTATTTCATTAAACTCACATTTCTATATAAAAAGACCCTAAGGATTCCTTGCAAAAACTTTTTGTTCATTCACTTTTTTTGTTTACTTCAAAGTAAATTATCTTGATTTTCAAGTACGGTATATTAGATTTGATTTGGACATATAAACATATTTTATTTGTTAAATTTTTCTCACCCAACTATAAGAGATACTTCTGAAGTAGAAGCTAACTTTTATCAATGAATTTTGATGGTACTCTCCTAACCATTTTTAGCATGTCTGCATATGTTGATGTGTATTGCACCATCATAAATTTTTACAGTTTCTATAATTTTGGATATTTTGAGATGAAGCTTCTTTACATTTGATTAAATGAGCGAGAACTTGCACCGGGGCAAATTCTCCTGAATAAACCTCTATTTATTACCTCTATGTTATTAGCCCATGATGATTTTTATTTTATTTAGCAATCGCAATCAAATTTATTGGTCAAGCCTATGTGCATTGGACCGGACAGCAATCATCAGGAGGACCTTCTGCCATTGAGAACTTATTTTATCATGAAGATATTGTACCTGGAAAATGTATTATATGATTTGATGTTGCTTTCTTTACAATAAAAAATCAAAGATTTTCCTACTGACAGTTTTACTGTTTATATCAATTTTAAGCAAATTGTTGTATTGTGATCAATTCCTCGATCAGTTACCTATTTATCACTATTTAGTGCGGAAATAGTATTATAACATTTCAACACAATTTCGATAGTCTATATTTACCGAAGTCTGAACATGATTGTGACATTATATTTTAATTCGAAACCCTTTACACTCATTTTTTCATAACCTATTATTAATTTGAGTAAATTGAGCATCATTTGATTTTATATTTCAGCAGATGACAACCAGACATCCCTTGCTAAAGGGCATCATGTTTTTTCGTTTCAATATAAACTTCCAGAACCACTACCATCATCATATGAAGGTATGACAAATTTTCAAATGTAATCAGTATTTGTAAATATTAAAATTTAATTAAAAATATCTTGGTAGGAAGAGAAATATTAAGCATTCATCTATAAAACGAATGGATAAATAAATTTTAGATATATTTTTATCGAGAATTCAAATTTTGATATATTCTGCAAAACTTGTTTTTGTCTTTTAATAATTGTTTGACTGTTGAAAATATATCTTCTAGCTCATTGTTTATTACCCTGCTCTGGGTTCACTGGTGCGAATTCTGATGAATAATTCAGTACAATTGTTCGCTACTGAAGTTTCATATTTTTAAATGATGTGCATGAAATTATAAGAACTAAGAGTAACCTTAATATTCTGTTTTGTAAAATTTTCTTTGATGTTTTTGTAAAAAAAAAATTTCTTCTACGCTTTTTAGACTTGATTGGATATATTCGATATTTTGTGAAGGCAACAATTGTAAAACCTGGAAAGTTTGAACAAAACACAGTTCGTGCTTTTACAATTCTCGATTCTTTGGATCTTAATGCTATTCCTGATGCTATGGTAAGTTTATTATTCAAATTACCGGTACTTTATTAATTCAAGTTAATCATTACAGATATCAGTGATACAGTGGAGATAAATAAAAAATATTACGTTATATTGAATCATGTACCGTTTAATGGTAGACACAGTGATTAAAACAGCAGATCTTGTATTTTTATTATATGGTGGATATTTGCTAGCTGATGTTCATCGCCTGATGATGACTTGTCTAAATGTTACTTGAACTGTGATTTCATAATGAAAATATAATGCAGTCTACTTAGTCGGTTTCAGTAATTTAGGGTAAGAGTAAGTAAACAGTGCCCTAACTGTATGAAATACACAAAGATCACATTAAACAAATAGCCGGCATAATTATTTGTTAAGGATAAACATGTCAGTGAATATTTTGGCGACTAGATAAACGATTACCATTTAGTTGTTTAACAGCAGAAAAAAAAAACAATTTAGATTCCTTTTTTTACGTAATTTTCCACCCTTTATTTTGACATTTTGAAATTCAAAGTTCATTCTGTAATAATTAGCCGAATATTTGTTAAAACATGAGTTACAATTGCACAATTTTCAAACCCTTTTATTTTGATTTCAAATATAATTAAGCAGATACCTTATTGTATTAATTAGAAGCCTTGTGGAGGACAAGAATCGAAACAACTTTGTTACTTGTGTTGTAAAAGTGGACCAATTGAAATGGAATTTCATACAGACAGATCTGGTTATGTACCTGGTGAATACATATTACTCAACGGGACAATCACAAATTCCAGGTTGGAATTTAGGTACTCCCATAGTGTGTGTACCTCCTGCCCATAGGCTACCGTCCCTTTACACAACTTGATGTAAAGAAGGAAAACAAAATTAGTTATCTCCATATTGGTACACACACTTCTGTAGCGCCGTTATTTATTTATTCTTTGTCCTGCATTACTAGATATTATAGCATACCCAGGTTGCAGGTCGAAACTCTCTCTTCCGAAATGTAAATTTTTTTTTTATCATACGTAGCTTGAATGCATTTTAGACCCTTAAGATTCTTGAAAACCTACATTTTCCGGTCTCCGGCTGGACTGGCTAGCTGTTAAGGTCTAACTTTGCAATTAGAAATGTCAGAACTGAGTACAATATTGTTACCTTGATTTGATAGTACAGAAACTTCTGATCACATTTGAAAAAAATTTAATATTCTTCATTTTAGTAACACAAAAGTGGAAGGATCTTCTGTTCAGTTGATAAAGAGAGTGACATATCATGCAATGTATAATTCCAAAATTGTAATATTAGAAGTTGCAAGGATAAATGGACCTCCTGTTCCAAAACATGGAAGCATAACATGGACAAATGAACGATTACGTATCCCACCTCTTCCACCATCAGAAATAAATCACTGCAAAATCATTGACATTGTTTACTTTGTTCAGGTATAGTGTTTTGTACTACGCTTATCCATGACTATCTGTTCAGAACAAGGTCCTGTATAACCACGCACTGATATCTAACAGTATGTGAAAGGATACTTACTATTATTTAAAACAGGGGTGTGCAACCTGCGGCCCTCGGGCCAGATGTGGCCCACAAAGAAAAATTGTGCGGCTCGTAAATAGAGTTTTCTAATTTAGTTTATTCCGGTACGATTGAGTAATTTCATCTCTTTGAGTCCCGCGTTTTTACCCAGTTATCTGTATTTCACCCTCCTGTATCAAAGGTTGCGCACCCATGATTTAAAAGACCAGAATCTTTTTGGTTTGACATTGCCTACACAATTTTTTACATGCTAGCTGAAGTGGTGGTCATGAGATATAGACTTGAGATGTATAACGTGTGATGCCAACACAGTCTAATGCAGGGGTGTGCAACAGGCGGCCCCGAGGGCTACAACCCGGGCCCTTGTCAACACTCAGATTTTTTCCATCAATCATAAAATCCTAATATGACAGTTCATGTTAATAAGGTGCTCACATGGGTAAAAATACATAATGAATTTTGCTCTTGTTACTGCGTCAAATCTTTCGTCGTTTTGACCAGTGCCTTTATTACTGGATAGGTAAGCAATAGCCCCATTCTCTTCTCTTTCCTTTCAAGCGGTGCTCTGTGGTTGTCGCTAATTTTCAGATCGTTGTGTACATGGATGAACTAATGTTCTTGTTTGCCCCAGATAGATGTCTGAACTTGGTAAACTGCCCACCGACAAAAAATGTTGCACACCCTTAGTCAAACGCTTTGACCACTAGGTCATCTCGCGCAATTTTTGGAGAATTATTCTTTTTCTGATCTAGATTTGTTTTCCCAAGGTTTTTCGTTTAACTATTTCTAATTCAAACATTGTTCTTAAAAATAATATCATTCTATTGAGTACTATGATCCTGTGAATGTCTTCGAACAATCAATGAAGTTTATTTTCTTCTTATAATACATAGTCTGGCCTGAAACTAAAACATGTTTGGGAATTCAAGTCTCCCCCTATAGTGGAAATGATATACAGAAAAAAGCCTGGAAAATTCCATATACATAGTAATTGATATTACCTTTTTTACATTTTAGTTTCAAGCTCATCTCAGGTCATTTGCCACTGATCCTCGTATCAACTGCAGAATAACGATAGGCACGATTCCTTTGCGAAATCTTCCATTATACAGAAATGCTGGTACATCCAAAATTGTGACTGGTCCACAGACACAACACCTTGCCACAGATATTGATTCCGCTACAGATGTATTATCAACTCAACAAAAAAGTCTTCAACGTGAGCATTTTCTGTATGTTCTAGCTAGAATATGATGTAATAAACATTTTAGTTGGTGATATTGAAATATGCAGTACAAGTTTGAATTAATATTAGGTACTAGGAAGTATTTCATATATTTTTTCATAATTTTTTTGATATTGTGACTGCAAATTCTGTTACTATGGCATTCATACTGTGTAGTAGATTTATACATTGATATCGTTATAATAGAATTTAAGAAAGGGAATTTGAAAAGCTTTACATTACGATATTATATTGGAGAATTTTGAAAAAACTGTTATGAAAATATTAAAAAAATGTACTTTTAATTCCAAATTTCTTTAACTTGTTATTGAAATCCTTTTGTGAATATCTTTTCAAACCAGTTTGAAAAACATTTATTTCTTTGTAATTTTTAATTTTTTCAAATTGTTTCAAAACTTTCAATTTATGTGATGTGCTATTTCCAACACTAGTATAAGGACATATTAATCCGATGATAACTTTTCTATACTAGGATATGATAGGATTTACATATTCATCCCAGGGGAGAGGAAAGCCGACAAGACGGCTAACCATATGGCGAACCACGGCCTCTCGTTCAGTTACCATTCCATGCCGGGTATGGTATTAGTTATTTATTTGTTTTGGGAAGCATGGACTTGATGATGGAGGAAGCCGTAACCGAACAGCGGTTACGTGAACCACCCTATGGCGACGAGGAGTCCAGCAATCCTCTCGCACATAACCATTCCCGCATGGGATTCAAACCTGCGAATCCACGCAGAGTAATCAGAGATACGGTGGCGAGCGTATTCTTAACGCTTAGCACAATGAGCCACACCACCGCCGATCAAATCAAGTAACTTATATAATTATGAAATTTATCCCAATTTCAGCTCCACCACTGTCTTATGCTGAATCTGAAGACAAACATCTTTTTAATATCAACGATGAAGATGGTAATGAACCCAGCATGGGAGAAACATCATTCAAACCTCAATACACTTACTATGCTTGGAAAGAATCTGCTTTTACGCATTTTTAATAATATTGTGGGTTTAGCAGCTTTGTGCATCCTAGTTTGGTTCAATGATGTAAATAAACTGAATACCATGAAACGGTGATTGTCGTACGGTTTACAGATTTGAATCTATATTGAGAACTACTATATCATCTTAAAGACTAATGCAATTTATGTCTTCCCATATACTATCATGCACTTGTCTGGCTTTTTTGTTTATTGTTTTTGTTAATCATCAATTCTTCATGACATATGCCATACTTTTCTTCAACATTTTTCACTTTATTTATACTTTTTTTGAAGTTTCTGTTGCAAACAGAATTTTTTTCATTGCCATGAGCAATTTTACAATCAAATGTTTTTCAATTTATATAATGCATTTAAGCTATTTTTCCTAAGGACTGTTTTAGAATGACTTTATCATCGCTAAAAATGCCATTTTGATATTACACCAGCGTTTGGAAGATTCAAGTTATGGATATGACAAAAACATCTATTTCAAATGACTCTAATTGTTTGGAGAACACGCAATCGAGTCTCAGAAATAGAAAAAGACTGAATGAATGATGATTATTTGACTTGTAGATTGGTGTTGTCTTGAAAATAATCAACTATACATCAAATCAAGCTACAGTGTTGCATCAAATGTAACAGTGAATTTCTTTAACAGTAATTTCTTGGTAAAAACTTAAGTCAAATTCTTGCTAGGTTAAGATAAGGAATGATCACATTGTACTATTTTGAAAAATTTATTTAAATACTGTTCTCTTCTTATGATATCATATTTTTGTATTTCATTATAGTTTTCATATAGTTGAGATCTTACATACATTAGTGTTTTCATTCACTGGGTATTAGAATAATGTACTTTGCTTTGTGAAAAATGAATGACTGTGACTTCTACGTTTGGAGTATACCATCCTTAAATTGAGCTTAGCTTAATTTTTGCCCGTTAATAATGTTTATTCAAAAAGCCTGAGCAATAAATCTGTACGCAAATTCTATATGTTATTGACACTAATCTATACAGTATACAACATGAGTTTGATTTTGAAGATAGTTGATATATGTAAACACAACATTGCAACAACGTTGCAGCAATACCATTTTTTTTAAAGATAGGATTCACATATTCAACCCGAGGAGAGGAAAGCTGATAGGACGACCTAATCATATGGTGAACCAGCTACCAGTCAGTTGAGGTATGTCAGGTATGGGATTAGTTAGCCAGTTATTTGTTTCAGATGCATGGACTCGATGGTGGAAGAATCCATAACCGACAAATTATTATGTGAACCACCTATGACGGCGAGGAGTCCAACAACCCCTGGTGAGCGTATTCCTAACGCTTATCACAATGTATTTCATAGCTGAATAATTCTGTGCCAAATCTAACTTCTGTCATTTGATCTTTTTTCTAAGCAATAGTTCCTAATTAGTGATTTTTATACTCTTAAACACTGCAATTTTGTACTTTTCCAATATATTCTTTCAAGTGCAAGTTTGACTTTCTTTGGAGGAAGCTAGATTGGCTTCTCTTAAATTGGCAAATAAAATCATGTTCGAGGTTATCCTATTGTTAGATGTAACATAGAGAGTTATCACAGTTCAGTTGATTATCATTTCAGTTGTATCATTTATTAAGATTGTAAACAGTGAGAACATCATATAATATGGCAGAATTATTGCATTTTGGTTTCTGTCACATCACCTCTTGATGGGTGTATAAATTTTTTGCTAATCCTATGATTGTTTTTCAGTAGATAAGACCAGTGGTGGAATTCCCAATTTTAAGAACGGGTTCTCCTTTGTATCAAACTAACTAACGACAGGTCCCTCACCAGAAAACCATACCAAACGTCTAGCTCTAAAATCAGGTTCACTGTTTACCACAGTATTCTAAGGAAAGGTTAAACCTTCGGAATCCGACAACCGAATAAGACGTTATTTATCTCTTATTGCTCCACATCTTGGGATGATAACACGTAAAAAGAATTGGAGCCCTACCTTCTGGCTAAGGTCGAGTATGGTGGTCTGAGTGGCTGACCTCCCATCCCCCCTTCCTGTTATATTTACCGCTAGACAAAATTTCTGAGCAGAATAACCCTTTATTATATAAGATTTTGTTCACCGTTGTAATAAAATATGTTGCCATAGCAACAGCGGATAGAAAAATAATAAGATAAAAGGAAATAAAACAATAAGAACAACCAATAATTAATTACAAAACAAATTATTGCAATATCATACAGCGTCTTTTCAAATTGTATGTAGAATAAATCCTTGGTTTTCCCAAAAAATCATGAAAAAGAAAAAAGCAATATAACAACTTTTATGCAAAAACATTAAGGCATTTATATAAAGTATATGCCTCAAATAAATATTCTTGATTTCATGATTTTTAGTAGAAACATTATGTTCTCAATGTTTAATACAGAGGTCGGTGGTTGAATATGGTTCGGATTGTTCATAATATTAATGAAATTAATGAAGAATGAATTAAGAATGTTCATAATTAATGAACATAACATTGTTCATAATATTAATGAAGGATCCCCAGATGATTTAGTTCAAACAAAATTGGAATTGTTATATTTGAAAAAAAATTGTATTTTACGCATCTATAAATTTCTATATTTGCCTGTAAAATTGCTGCAATTCTTACAAAAATAACATGAGTTTTCAAATTCCATAAAGTAAAACATGGCATATATATCACGAGATTACTGCAAACATATAAATTTAAACAATTCTAGATTGAAATTACAAGCTAAGCCAAAACACCAATTCATTCGAATAAATTCAGAATGATGTAGAAAATGGATACATAAATCAAAGGAGGAAGTTTCTAGTTTAGCTTATATTATTATCAATTTGAGAAGAATAAGGTGGCAAAAACACTATATTTAGGGATTCTGATATAGGATAATCTTTTACACCTTCTTTAACAACAACCATCATTAATATTCAGCATAAAATCATTCCAACCAATCAATGGTGATATATCCGCTTAAGGATTTTAACTGTATACAAAAAAAAACTTGACAACCCACTGTCAAGTATTTCAAATTTCAAGAAAGTACACCATTTTCCCAATATTTTGAAGCCAGACTAATATATTACACACTGGGTATGATGATAGACTAGAGATCTCTATCTATTCTGCAACGGCACACAGTTAAGAAAAATTGATAACTTAATCAATTAAGAAATGGTGCTCGCGATAAATGGAGTGGAAAACTATTTGAAAATGATTTGGGGTTCAACTTCACTTGTTTACTTCACAATTGAGAGGTAGTTTGTAAAATCTGTTGCTGTGTAAGAGTACCATTGTCATATTTTTTGCTAATGATTAAGGTATGTCCTGACACCTCATCGAAAGACATTTCACCAGATGCTGGATTAAATTACTAAAATAGAGAATTCCTTGAAATGATTAAAGAGAAAAATCGTAAGGCAACCAAATATAACAAGTTATATCAAGAACATTGTAAATAATAAAATGAAACGCCATTCCAGATGGAAAATCATGTTGTAAATAGTTAAGCGACCGTTGTCTCCTAATAAGTAGTTGTCATGCCAAAAATAGTTTTGCAATAACCAATATTTGGCATGCATACAGAAATATTTCTATCACTGAATCATTCATTTATTATAGAAAAATTATTACAAATTAATAGAATCACTGAGCCTAATCATGACTTGATTTTATTAGAAAATACAATTTGAATCAACTTGAATTTTTTAATGTATTATATTCACAAATTAATCAGCACTGAAATCTGACAATCATGATTGCACAATAAACTGATGGAATTTGAAACCAACCATGATGAAGCGTTACAGCATCATGCTAATCGTTGGGAACATCCCCAGTGCCGACAATCCTAGGCTTTGAGTTCAAGAATTTAAATCCTGCGAGAAACATTACAACAAACAGGTAAATTAACTATTCCCTTATCGTAACTGATAACCAGATAAGAGGTCTTAAGAGGCTCATTTCAAAGTAATAATACAAAGGATAATGCTCATAGTAAGAATGAACACAATAAGATATTTAGCTTTTCAGCTAATGTATGTAAAACATCTGTTCTCTTAAAAATCAATAATCAAACAAAATTCCATTAAAATTATCTGTATCACAATCATACTTGGGTAAAATGAATGCTGTTTACAAAACCAAAAAAAAAAAATTTCTAAAAGAAATATAACAAAATAAAGTTTAAGAGTTCATGGGTAAAAATAGAAGGAAAAAAAAGGCAAATGGAGAGTAAATAAAATGAAAATAAAAGTATCATCGAATGCATTAAACTGGCTGTTATTTATGACTAGATAATATGTTTCAGTTCTCTAACTTTGAAACAACTCTACACAAATATATACTCCTGAGTGTCATAATAACTACTACATAACTACTATACAACCAAATAGACCTTGTTTTCTTTAATCATCAATAAAATGTCATGTACCCATCCTTTGCAAAACTCATCTTATTTCAATGAGCTATAAATTATCGGTGTAGTAAAAAGTATGGAATAGATAAGCAATTAAAACATGGCTTAAAAGGGTATTTTCAACGTAAATTGGTGTGTCTTTTGCAAGAAAACCAAAGTAAGTCAACAATTTGTAGTGTGGTATTAATAGGTAAATAGGATTTTAATTAAATGCTTTTTTGAGCTAACATGGATATAAAACGTTATACAAATTGTTAAAGTAATCATATGAAATGGGATTCTAGGGATAATAGATGCGACCACACTGGTTTTCTAGCAAAAGATTCCAAGCCAATGTTTACCATCCAAATAAAAGTGAAATTACCACTACAAACCAAATATGTTGATGGTTTCGATCAATGAAACATAAAAGTATACCATATGAATATGCTGAATAGAGTTAGTTCTGCGTTCCATGTTCAAACAGATACACATCAATAATGAACTTTCCCTCCTTTCAAAATTTGAACAATTGTTACAGATAAAAGTGCTTGGAAACTTAATTCAAAACATGATTTGTTTGACGTTCTGGGTTGCCAAGTAAATACAAACGAGTAGCCCAGTTCGACTGATTAGTTTTGCAGTTGCTAAAGCAAGCTGCATCGATTGAGGCATAGAAGATTTTTCCACTGTAATGTGAAGAGACAGAAACCAGATGAAAGCTATCACACTGATGGAGTAACTTCAAGTACAAGAGGTTGAATGGCTTCAGCTGCATCTGTGTTCTGAAAAAATAAAATGAAACAATTTTAGATTACCTAAAGGAAGAAGAATTGGGAGCATTTATGTTAATTATTCAGAGATGTAGATTCATTTGTCGGAAATTTTTTTTAACTGGAGTGTAAGATAAAAACTTTATATTAAATTGAACACTTTCAGCAAACGCTACCGATTCGGCAAAATACCTAATATACAACAGATATGAATAATGCTATTGAAAATATTGGGAAGACATTACAGAAAATATTAAAAGAATACCACATATCCACAAATATGGTATATATGTATATCAAAGAACCAAACAAGTCGTCATTTGGAGGTAACGAAGATCTTGCAATCACATCAGAACTAAAAAGACAACAACTAGAGTAGGGGAGAAAGAATATAATAAGTTATGATTTCAATTTTCATGATGGCAAAATTAGTAGGTAGGCTGCTAAGTTTTCTTCATGTTCAGTTTCAAAATTCTTATGTTTTTTTTTAATACAAAAATTGTTAATTTCAAGAGTTGGAAGCTGAAGATGAATTTTCTGTCGATACCTGGTAAGATTCTTTAATTCCCAGATCAATTAAAAAATAGAAATTAAATCGAATAGAAATAAAAATACAGCTCAAAAACAATCAAATCAGCTTCAAACAAAAAATAGAATTTACCTCCAATCTTCCATGTGTTTTAGATATATGCCAGTTCAATGTACGAAGGCGAGTGAGGTAAGCCATGATTTTAGGGAACCTTATTTGACAGTGGTATGTATTTTCTGAATAAGCTTGCAAGGCAGATACAATTATTTCTTGTTGTGCTTCTACTGCCTCTCTGTTCTCTAATTCATCACGATCTGAAATAGAAAAACAAGATTGTGATTCGTGTGGTCATGAAATATGCAAAGAAGCTGTCCAGAGACTGAGAACCCTGTTTTCAAGCTGTTGAATATTTCTCTTGAGAAAGTGGACAGTAATTCAAGATGATCTATAATTTTACATCATTTAATAAATAAATACACAACTTGACTATTTTTGAGCGCAGATCTGTGAATTCAAAGAGTTTATAGAGCAGGTTTTTAATTGAATTGGAGTCGGAAGCAGTCCTCTTCGAGGGAGTCCTAGCCCTGTATCAGAATTTTAAATCTTTCTTAGGGTCAGAGCAAAAATTTCTAATAGAAAACTTCTACTGGCGTTAATCCAAGCCAAAATTTCCGACAAAAATTCAAGAAGCTTTGTTGACTGAGCGCCCTGAACAGACATTTACAGACTGTTTACAAAGTTTTTGTAACAAAAATTTCGTTTCAAGGAAATTGTAGCTAGAGTCTGATGAAAAATCTCATTTAACGTAGTGGAGTCAAAGGTCAGAGACGTTTTTCAGAAGGCTCAATGTTTGAGGTATGATGTAAATAATCATAGAATCCACAGACAGAGCGTGGAAAGTTTGTCAAACATTCAGTTTTTTCCATTGCTCACAAAAGATACAGGAACCGATTTAATGAAAATAAATCAAATTGAATACCTGATGAAAATAGAGTAGAAGCACAAATACAAGCAAGTTCAGTATCATCGAGTCCCATGTGACTCAACTTATGATGAAATTGTAAATAGCAATCTGTGTATTCCTCTGACATTCCACCTGACAATACATAATAATAATAATAAATGAAAAAATATTATGATATTAACAGATTCCAGCATTAAGATATAATTTGAAAAGGCTCTCTTGGGCATCGGGATTAGTTAACATAACAATTGGTTATACTCCAAACATCAGTACAAATTTCTAGACATCAGGCTATGGATGTACAAAAAGTTTACAACATTTTCCTCATAAATTTCAACAATATAGGTAAGTGTTGTATTAGTAACAGACGAATATGTATGATGTATTATTAACTTTGCTTCATATTTTATGTCGCTAACATTATCTTGTCTCTTAATAAATGGCAGTATGTGTTTATAAAAACCATTTCTTACGATATGCTTCACAGGGTTTACACAAAATGGCATTTGAAAATCATATTAAACATTGGTATCGTCGAGCAAATTTCATTCTTTGATACCAGCAATATGCCTATATACAGAGGTTTGAATATTGACATGACAAAGAAATCAATAGGCTGTATACCGTACGGATTTGGAAAGACGACAAAATATCGAATTTTTTGGCTACACATGATTATATTTATAAAGTTGCATATTTGTTTCAAGTTCAATTTACCCAGGAATAAATTTTGAATTTTTTTCAGTCTATAGCACCAAAAATAAAATATCAAAATAATTAATTTCATGCTCCTTAAAAATCGCATATTTTAATCTCCTAGCAAAAATCGTATATGGGAAAGCCCTGAAATTGTATAAAACATAACATAATTGCAAGATTTATGGGTGATCAGCTGAAAAAAAGGGTCTTTCAAATTCAAATGTAGGTGTTTTAGGACAAAGATCAATAAAGAATATTCGGCGCTCCAGAAGTATGTGTACCAATATGGAGGTAAATAATTTTGTTCGCTTATTTTACATCGAGTTGTGTGAAGGGACTGAAAGCTGTGGGCAGGAGGTATATTCATTTGGCTAACACAGACAGTCCCCGAACTCGTACTAGAACTAAAATGAGGAAAATCAGAATAAAATTATAGGCTATGGCCTAACCCTAACCTGGTACACATACTAAGGGGGTATCGAATATTCATTAGAGTGTTGGGAACAGATACGCATATATCATTAGCTATGTCTGATAAAAAATTTTAACATTTTATGTTATGTAATTTAATGTGGTTTGTGTTTCTGCGCATAAACCAACTATTAGACGTATATTCCCTTCAGGCTGTGTGTAGTTTCGTAGACAACATATTTGAGATTTTATCAATGAATAACAGTCCAAAGAACTTGGGCCACTTTTCAAAGATTTACAACATATAATTTTAACACTTTTATTATGCAAAATACCAAGTATTATGTATTAGAAAGATCAACTTTACAAGAAGTCAAAAGATTCAGCTCCTGTATGAGCAAATTTTAGATCATTTTTGATCGCGGGACCAATTATTATTGAGAGGACGATCACTACTTCCACACACTATGTCCTTGATACATTTAGATAAACTTGAATAAAAACGCTGCAAAATTTTTACCAAAACTACCAGAATGTTATCATAAGATAAAAACATGTAGTCTTGGTGCTATAATTAATCTCTGAAGTCTACAGTAAGAAATTTTGATGAAATAATAATACCATTCTGTTAGTATGGCTGGTTTAAAAAAAGTTAGGCCGGCTAGGTTATTGCCCTACCTTTCTCTGGGAATTTAACATTAAACTAACATAAAAGGAATCGAAGAAAATGGAACAGAACTTATTAGTGGTGAGGGAATAACACGATTGGAAATGACTTTCAAAAGATTTTTTTTTTTTGAATTATGATACAACAAGACAAAAGAACTCAAGACAAGTGGTAATTATAATTAGCGCCAGGGATGGTCAAAACTGAATATTTCACTTTCCCGAACACATTATGGGAAAATATTTTCGAATGTGGAATATTGAATGCATTCAAATTTGGGTTTAAGTTCATGTAGAAAATTACATAAATCACTATATCTTCATGTTAATCATATCAAAAATGACGTAAATAAAAATATTAATGTTTCTTCTGTATTGTTTGTTTTCAGTTGAGATATCGTACAGTGCGATCTGCCTGTCTGACAGCTCAAAATTCCATTAATTTAAATTTTTTTCCATTGAATATAATGAATTCTAAAATTTATTCGGATATTCAATTCCTTTTGGAAATCCATGATTAGTGCTTTCCAGGGGTAAAGCATTCTACTTTTCATATGCTAGGCTATTAACATAAAAAAAAAACATACCGAGGATGAAAGATTCTCTGGTGTAATATTTTCCTGGTCCACACATGAGAGCGTTCTGTTTTCTATCATATGTATAGTTGGCTTTTATAAATAATATCTCCGTACATCCTGATTTTAACAATGTGATTTGATCCTTGAGGCTTAAGGAACTAAACAAATAAACACAAATAAAGTTATTGATTAAGAACTCATGAGGTATATTATAGTAGATCAGTAGTGTGCAACCTGCGGCCCGCGAGCCAAATGTGGCCCACAAGAAAAAATTGTGCAGCCCGCAGTGAAGTGCCAATTTTGAATGGAGTGCGGCCTGCAAAGCGAGTTTTTAATTTAGTTTAGTAATCTGGTAAGTGCGAGGAATCCCTTTGCGTTGTGGAATCTATACCTGATCCCAGTCTATTATCTATGCCTATGACGTTACAATGCCCTAACAGCTAGCTTGTACGAAGTGAACAATGCATGTCATAAGATCAATAATCAAATTTTGTGCCTGCAACTACTGGAAAGCAAGAAGGTGCAGCTTGAGGTTTCATCCAGTTATTTATACCTAGTCCCTGCTGTATTGAAGGTTGCACATCCTTGTAGTAGACAGTAATATGTCATCTCAATGAAAAAATTATTCTGCTACTGAGTAGTACTGACCAATATTATTACCAATCAGAACAATTTTTGGGCCATCTAACCAAATAGGAAAAAAAAGACTATTCAACTCACGTTAAACAATTCCATTTGATACAATTATTTCTTATATTTACAAAAACAAGTTATCTTGAGCCAAGATGGAAATAGAAATGTCTGAAGAGGTTGGTTATATTATTGATTACGTGGTGTTCTCTGGGACAGGATTGATATAACTAACACTTAATCCTGAAGGTTGTAATTCTTAGGAATAAAAAGTTGATTCGTGGTTAACAGGGATGTCCAAAACGAAATCAAATATTCGAATACAATCGAAATTCGTTATATTTGATTTAGTAAGTTTCTGAATTTAGGAATAATTTAGAATATTTTTATTTGAAAAGGTCTTTTTCCGCATTTATTATCATATGTAGACAAAAAATAGGTACCTTCAGACAAAACGAAATACAAAACAATATTTATCTCGATTATTCTGCAAAGACTAAATTTGATTTCTATAAATTTACAACTGTCTGAAGAATTAGTTTTGTGGAACAGACCCATTTCCGAATATATTGGATGTTTGATTTTCAAAAAGATGTATTCGGAATACTAAATTGTTCGATATTGGCCATAGCCTACCTGGTGATTAAATTCATGGGCCACAAAAAAAAGTTTGATGCTATCAAACTAATCCTTGTAAGTACCGTAAGTCATTGAATTACATTGTTAATGAATTTGACTTGTTAATCATAGTGATGTACAGATGATATAGTAATATCATAAAGTCCTGTTACTGTTACATTCAAAAATTTGTCACAATGTCAGTTCTTAGAATGTCTTAACCAGGTTTCATTATTTTATTCAATGTTTATTCAAGCTTTTTACACCATTTAATTCACCTTTATATCCCACAATCGGTTGCAAGAAGCACATTAAAATTATTTTACCTAATTCGATTCACTACTTCATGAACACCCTGTATATCGCATAATAACTAGGGCTGGGCATTTTCGAATACCTGATGATTTCAGAATCGCATCAAAAATTTTGAATTTCTGAATATCGAATATTTATTGAATATTTTGTATTGTATTGGGTCCTCCAGACACATCTATTATTGAATACACAGAATCGCTCACCCAGTTACTTGAGACAAACATGTTTCAGCAATAACTAACTAGAAAAAACGAGTCATATGTCAGAATTGTATTGTAAAAATATTATGGTTTCAATAAAAAAAATTGTAGAATTCACCTCGACCTTTGGCAGACAGAGATTAAAAACAAGATGGCGGCATTTCAAAATTTCAGTCTGAAGCGATTCGAATAATTTATTATTCGATTCGAAACGCCCTCTACTGTCCTAATAATAACATACATGAATCAGACTTTTAATGATTCTCTCATTTCAGCTCTGCATGTTTGAGGATGTGAAAAATTTGGAAAGAGAATGATATTAAACAAAAATAAAACTTACATAAAACCTGGGATCTTTTTACAAAACTTGATAATCTCTTTAATGCTGAATTCCATGATAGCAGAAAAATGTTGCAAATGTGCTTTGCTTGCTCCAGCTTGACCTGGGGCTGTTGCTACAATATCTTGTGTCATTCGATCGATTCTAAAACAAAAAAAATTATATTTTACTAATTTTGAAATATAGGTATTATATTTATTACTAATAGTGAAATAAATAATAATTAATTTACTCGCGAGTTGTGACAGATATGTTAGTAGACACAGGTAATGAAACTGTTAACAGTCACAAAAACAGCTTGGCAAAAGAGAATTCCACAATTTTTGAAAAAGATTCTCTTATATACTGAAGACATACTGAATAGATCAGGAGTGGGCAATTACTTTCAAGAGTGGGCCAATTACAGATGACAGACTTGGTTACTGCGCCGAAGGCTTAAAACTCAAAAAAAAAAGGAAATACAGTTTATTTACAAATACCTAGCCTAACAGCTCAAGTGCGACAAAAATCTAGTGTACCGAGTGGTACATTGATGGGAGTGATGTATCCGAGGATTCGGTATTTTCATCGACATTTTAAACAAAAAATTTTATCCATAAAAACTATAGTTGTTATTTCAGAAGACACAAGTGGGCCGTATGAAACACTTTGATGGGCCGAATCCGACCGCGGGCCGTAATTTGCCCACCCCAGGAATAGATATAAAGTACAAATTTTTTTTCAGTTTGTATGAATGTCATAATTTAATAGAAAACTCAGTCAGTCATATTTGACAATATAAATGGCATTCTACTTCTACGTTGTGCAAGCTACAGGCAAAACAACATGTCTGTTTTACGCTAGCAAATTTCTATTTAAAGGCAGCGTAGCAAGGCAGAAAACTATTAAACAAACTAACTCAAAATTGAAACAATGCATATACTTAAATAATACAAAGTGTGAACTCATTCAATGCTCATGCAAGCGAAGCAAATTTTTCACGCTTCATGTAGAAGAATGCACAACAAAGTCTTTTTGAAGACAACTGTCAACAAACGAGATCTCTGTGCGTATCTTTGAATTATTCATTACAATGGACAAACTTATTTTCTTCGGATAGAACTACTATGAAAATATTAACTAATAATAACATTAAATTTGAAACGAATGAAATTTAAATATTTGGAAGTTAACGAATAGTTTGTTATCTAATATATGACTGGTACAAAATGTCTATATTATCGAGTAAATGACTTACAGTTCTGAAAAACCAGATCCAGTACTTGATGCAGGGGAAGCATTTGGATTCTTTTCTTCTAGAACAATACCTTCTTCCTGTAAAAAATAATAAAGGATGTAAGTCACTTCTACTAGAATTTAATGTGTAACATGTCCATAATAGCAAATAACATAATATTCCAAAATTTATCTTGGTTATTCATTTCCCTTGTTCTCTTTTCTTCACTATAAATAACTGTAAATAAATAATTGTAATAATTGTAATTTTTAATTTTTCAGATTGTATAGCTATATTATATACATGTAGCTAATTATATAACTAAATTAGTAAAAAGTAAGGAATCTTACAGAATAAATAGATTAAATGGCGGTATTACTAATAATATAGTAATATACTTTAATGAATTTTGTCTATAATACATGAATCTATCATATCAATAAAGTATGTTGAAATATTCTAAGATAAAGTCAACGAATTGTCTGATTTTGAAATCACAAAATCACATTTTAGATTATTTCACAAATAACAATTAATAAAAAAAATCTAGTATATTATATCAATTTTTACACATATATTTGTAAAACAACAAAATATCAGATTACATAGAAAAGTATTTTCATATTTACTTCATTTATTCAAATTTAATTCCTTCTGGGCATATCTAAATGTCAACCGTAAACAAAAAAGGATTGGTTAATAGAGTACTAATTATATAATCGTGACAAGTCTACCTAAGACTATATTGGTATGTACTTCATAAACAAAATAAAAAGAGAAAAATCAATATATCGAGTATTCAGAAATCAATTATCGATATAATAGAATATACAAATGTTCATGGAAACCTTTATTTTAATCCATAAATTCAAAATGAAATTTAGTCATTTTTAAAACAGATCTGGTTTAATTACAGCAGAGTAAAACAGTCATCTAATTTTTAGAATTTGAGTCCCCATGTAGTACCGATAATTCACAATAAAATGGACATATTATATTAATTGCAATGGACGCATTTTATTAATTCACCGTTTTAGGGCCATTGTTAAGGGGTCGGATTATATGATCAGCTGATATGTGAAGGTATACGGTAATTCCCAAAATGACATGGATCCTAAAAGTCGAGAAGAATATAGTTTAGTAAACAGATTGAATAATCACAACTGGGTTTAAAGTTTCAGACAATTTACATACTACTACTAAATTTAGTATCTTCTTAATATTCTAAAATATAAATTATGCATGAATGAGTGAATGGCAAAGTTTGAAATTTCAGCCAGAAGTCAACACAAAAGCATTTTTGCCAATGAAACTGGAGAGGATTGATTTGGGTTAAGGATCTGCATATCAAGTAGTATGGTTAGTTTCTATTTCTTGTCTTCAATTCATTTTGATGTAAAACATTTCAAATTAAATCGATTATGAAATTCACATGCGAATTGGCAATGTGAATTATATTGATGACCAATGGAAATATATTAGTTTCAAATGAGGTTCACCTCCATGAATATTGACTATGATCATCGTAAAATTATGAATAAAGGTAAAGTGATTTTGCATAATTTCAATTTATTAAACTGTCTTATTTACTAAATTGACAATTTTCCGGAAATTTATGTAAAAACTGAATAATTGCATGTGAATTAAATTCTTTATTTCTTCCTGAGTGTTAATAAATATTAACAAATATAGATGCTGAATTTGATAATTGGTGCCTCAATAAGCACTGAATGTATTTCCTAATATTTTACTGTACAATTGCCCCTTGAACAAGGGTTTTGTTTACTCAATCGTGGTTACGTAATATTTGAAAGTGTACAACATACAAAAACGAGTTATGCAATAAAGAGTGAATAGAGATAAAGAGTGTTAGTACAAGAAAATGAAAAACATCAGCACTAAATGGTTTCAAAATCTCCGGTTATGTTAAAAGACAATCTTTTCATGCTTTAGGTCATATTGTTTCAGTAAATTATACTGACAACAAAAAACAAGCTTATTTTAATTCTCCTGAAAACAGTCGTTTAACTAATATATTACGAGTTTATGTACATGTTATGGTGTTATTTCAGTAGACTGTGGTTTCATGTATAAAATCTAACAATCATCAGATTAAATTATGCAAGGCTGACAAATAGATATAACCAATGCCATAAATAGTTACGGTAAGTACATAATCCTCATGAAAATGTGAAAAATACTGGTGAACGTAATAAATATATTATTAAGCTTCAGAAACGCTTGTTTTGTTATTCCCCCAAATTTTACTTATATTGTACTAATAAAAGCATTGCATTGCAATGTGAATTTAACAAAATTTATAACAAATAGATGGAGTGTCCACAGCACTTATGGATGGACGGTATAGAGGTCAGTCAGACAAACAACAAAGTATGATTTGTGACTGAACTTAATGCAAGCTTGATATTTTCACAAAAATTTTTCCTAAATTGTTTAATACACGAATGCATTGAATTGAAAATGGAACATACTCCTAATGCAAAGCGGATGGTCTACTACACTGGCCACGACTGGACAGCAAAAGGGTCAGTTTCTATTAGATAGAGCATTTTTGACCAGGGTGTAATAGATTAGGTAGGCCATTAAAAAAATTGAAAGATATCGGCCCTTTATGAAGTAGTGGGTCGTTACATCATTGACAGCTTGCACAGAACCATATATTTAGTTGAGGTTCAGAAATACCTCTCATAAAAGATCAACCATCCCAGCCCTTGTCCTACACTAGATCATCGAACCATGACTATAATCAATTTCCTATTATCAATATAGGGTATTCTACAAAAATACCAAGAACATGGGAAAGTTGGAACATGTCTCTAAATCAACATTGGCAACATGTCTCTAAATCAAATTAGAAAAAACTTTACGTCAAGGATGAAAATATTACCGATATATTCGGAGGATTATTTGTCTGGCAATGTGATGTAGTAATCAACTCAACGAGGCTTCTTTTTTCAGGTGTATAGTCAGAAGGTTTCCATAAGATAATATTTTTCTTTATCCGATTATTCAACATTAAATTTTTCTTCATTTGAATTTCAGAATGAGACATTATACCTGAAAAATATGACAGTGTTAGGTGTTGGAAATGAAAATATTAAACCGTTGAGTGGACTCTCGTTGCTATTTGTGCCTATCTGAGTGAGTGTCAACTAGACCTTACTCACTCTGAGTAGGTTTTGCTACAGAAGAAATATCCTTGACAGTGTTATAGGTGTTGGAAATGAATATATGAACAGTTGAGTAAACTCCCGTCACTGGTGGGGAACATTTTTCCCGTGACTGGTGACATTGGTGCATATCTGAGTGAGTGTCAATTAGACCTTACTCAACAAGAGTAGTTCTTATTACAAGAGATTAATCTACGACAGTGTTATAGATGTTAGAAATGAATATATTGACAGTTGAGTGGACTCTCGTTACTGTCCTCTAAAATGAAATTTGTGCGTATCTGGGTGAGTGTCAATTAGACCTTACTCATCGAGAGTAGTTTTTGTTACAGGAGAATTATCTACGACAGTGTTTATATAGGTGATGGAAATGAATATATAAACAGTTGAGTGGACTCTTGTCACTGTCCTCTAAAATGACATTTGTACATATCTGAGTGAGTGTCAATTAGACCCTACTCATCAAGAGTAGTTTTTGTTGCAGAAGAATTATCGACCATCTTCTCTTATATTGAAAGCCTCGTATAAGGGATTCAAATGTGGCTAAATTTAAACAGTTACCCTTAGTTACTGTGTTTAAAAAAATCATTACCGTATATCTCAAGTTTAAAATAGCATATCCAAATTAGGCCAATAGGTCAATGGTTGAACTGACCAGAGCACACCTAAAACTGAAACTAGATGCCAGATTAGTTGCGTCAATGTGCCAACAGCAAGTCTATCATAAAGTTAAAAATAGGATTTGGATTCAGAAATGAGATTAAAATAAATATTGACCAAATAGAAAATGATTCTCGATGTGAAAAGTTTCCTTCTTATAATTGATTATCTAAATGGGCTATTCCAAGTGACACTACAGGACAATTCCAGAAATTTTGCATGTTGTTGGATGCAATATATTTTCACATTTTCAGCTACATGTTTTGTTTCATTGTCCAATCAGTTGCTTTATTGAATATGTAAAAAATTGCACAAAAGTTACACCCAAGACTTACTTGATATATAAAAAAAATATAGTAAAATATAGCGTGACACTACAGGACGGCAAATCCACCATGCACTAACAGTACGTTGTGTTATGCTGTAAATTTTTGCAATGGTACAGTGGGAGCCCATAATATTTTCTGGTGCAGTAGCTGAACTACCCCTCTATGTGTTGCTCAAGTTACTTAATGTAACACTGTAAATCCATGCCAATAATGTGCATATTGTATCTGACACTACAGGACGTGACACCCCAGAACATTTTTCCATTTCGGAATAGCGGCCTCTATCATCTCTTAAAATTCTGGTAATAAATCGTTAAATGGGTGAAATTTTATATTGGGTGAAATTTTATATTGTTCGATGAAATGAATGCAGTCCAATAAAATTCCAATGTCTTTTGATATCAAAAATAAAAAAAATTACTTTCACTACACTTTTTAAAAAATTGATGGAAGTCAACTTTTGCTTGGAATGGCCCAAATATGGAGAGAATAATTTAAATGTGGAAGAAAAAATCATTGATGTTGACCTGCAACCAATATACGATATATTAATGAATGAGTGCTAAAATGTGATCTGGTCTTTAAATTATTAAATATATTTGGCCAAACATGTCCAGAGCGCACCAACTGAATATGGTTATTTCCTATTTTTTGTCCCCATGTTCTCAATAACAAAAGTACTACAAAACCACCATACCATGACGAAACAATATCAAGTGGCCGCTATTGTATAGATTGGTATTGCACACTGTGAACGAGGTGTGAAATGAACTGGATCTATCAACATATTTTGATAGGCACGATATGAACATTTTTTCTTTTGAATGTGATTTTGGTCCGATCATCTAAATCACGTTTCAAAATTCAAGGAATTCAGATGCAAATTGCGAAGAACTCAATGAAAGAAAACTGTTATAATATACGTATCAATAAATCATATCTTTTTCCTCGAAACTGTAGGCTTTTGAAAATTAAGGATGTAATAATGTCAAATCTGCCATTTTAAATAAATTATGAGATAGTATTTAATTAAGAATATGAAATATGGAATAAATTAGCAATGATCATATTCAGCATTGAACAAGTAGAAGCCATTATATATCCAACAAGTTTAAATTTTGTAAGAAAGTTGACATAACTAATCATTTGATTTTGAGTGTTCAAAATATTCCGAATGATTTCCAAACTCAAAAATCTGTATCATATGAAATGAAACCAATTAGAAATTGATTCGATAATACAATTGTTATTCTAAACAATTCTGATCAAAGTTTTTTTAAAAAAATATATATCAAAGCACTTGAATAAAGACATCCAAATTCTAGGGAAGGGAAATTATAATGAAGCTGTCCAGCATGTTTTGAAATATGATACTTTATTTAAACAACGAGCTATTCACGGTGGACAAATACATTCTCTCAATGCTCGTCCTACTTTTATTAAGCTATGGTTTCAAGTTACGTGAGAGACAAGGGTTCTCTATGAACGTCGTAGCAGCACTCACACGTTTGCCGATGCTTTTGTCCCAAAGGGTTTGCTTGACAAGTATACTACAGTTCTATTTCAAGATTGGGTGGAGAGTTGATAGATTGAATCAATTTATACTATAACAACATGAGTATAAATAATTTTATACCATGAAGATTTGGGTAACTTAACCTGAAAGAATATAAATGTTATTCAACAAAAAACATCAAAGTGAAATAAAATAACAATCCTCAAATATAATGACACAAATGCCAAATGACTAATATGTAATATGGTCACAGCAATGTCAGTAAAATGTTCAAAAAATAGTACCGAATATCATTTGAATGTTAAAATTGTTGTATAAAATAGCATATGTCGGTGACGGGAAGTTTATAAACCTCTAAAATTTTAGATGACATATGTGGCCCATTACTCAATAAATACTCATCACTCATCAGACAAATAATTAGGGAAGGAATTTGAAAAATAAATGGAAAAGTAAAACCGGAACTAGAGTTTGAAATCTACTGGGTGATTATTTGTGGAAAGTATTTTTAACAGTGACAACGACAATTTAGCAAATGATTCATACGTACACTTTATATTTAATTCTTATTTTGTTTTATCAGATCAAATAGATATTAGTATTACCCTCTCTCATGTCACCTTCAAATTTTCTAATGAGATTAGCATGTAATATGAATATTCAAACATATATTTTATGGATTAAATTGAAATTTTCCACACCATCAAGACGACAGTTTATCATCTAGTAAGGTATAGCAAGAGCTAACTTCATTATTATATAATATACTATTTATTACAGTACAATTAAAAAGTTAGCATTTTTTTTCGATAAAGGATTCATTTTGAAAGATGAATGCAATTAGCAAAAAAAAATTGAATTTTGGAAAAATCATTTTTATCAGTGAATATTCAACATCCGTGTTAGAATTAAGATGTGTCATATCCTCACTAATGTATTAAAAACTAGAAAAATTAGTCATTCAAATGTGTTTTGAATCAACCTATGTTTTCCCTGCTCCTGATAACATTTTTTGAAATAGGAATAAGCGCTGCTGAGTAATAAATGGTTTTCGATTAGTGAAGCATAAAGCAAACAAAAAAACATGAATTAAAGGGTCTTTAACGTCTACCGCAGTACGATAAGAAACGTTAAACGGAAATTATAGTCAATTTTAAAACCTAGAAATCGTCATTTAAAGAGTATTGAGAAAAGACCTAATTCAAATCATTATATTATATATTTGAGGATAAATCACCATTCTACCATCATCAGAGACATCATGTTAACTAAATTAGGCTTTGCCAAACATGGTTTGTTGATAAAATTTGCCCAGCAAGGAATGACTGTGTATGATACAAGAATTAAATTGCTCAATTGTGATTCAAATGTGGAATTATTCTGCTAAGCATGGAATACTGGTAAATCCCACAACTCACAAATGGTTCAAGCCAAATTTTAAAACAATATTTTTTAGAGATAAAACATCAGACAAATTTCTAATATAGGATAACTTTTGTTACATGTTTATTCACTACTTTACAAAAATCATGGATGGAAAACTACAATTCCGGACAATGTATGACTAAATCCTTATCATTTAGACTGTTTAGCATACACAAATCAGTAGCAGTAGTAGTACTTTGTTGCGAAAATTTATCAAGATGATGAGTAAATCCGGTCATTACTGACGCACCATTACGAATAATACGTCAATGCATCAATCTCCTTTATCTAAGTTTCTAGTAATAAATTTTGACAAGTAATTAAGCTTTTTGTCCAGGTTTAATCAATAGTACAGTCTCACAAGATTTTTAACTTGACGTAAGAATAATATTTACATACAGTGGCGGATATAGACCTTTAAAACCAAACTATCAGTATTTACTATTTCTGGAATATATTCAACATATATAAATATTAAATAATATTTGGGTGTTTCGAAGGCATGAATGCATAAATAAATTATTTTAAAAATAATAAATCAAAAATACTCATTGTGTAATTATTTTCAATAATTTACTTATTTGGGTATGCTTTTCAACCAGTTGATACTGATATTATTGTTTATAATTAAATTGCTCTTTTTAATAGTCATGGACCTCCATCCATGTCCTACACTTACCAGTGAATGAAAATAGATATTAAAGTGAATGTAGATTGTGCCAAAAATGTTACCATTTTTCTGGCCAAACCTGTACATTAATACTTAAACTAAAGACTAAAGATATTATTGTTTATAATTAAATTGCTCTTTTTAATAGTCATGGACCTCCATCCATGTCCTACACTTACCAGTAAATGAAAATAGATATTAAAGTGAATGTAGATTGTGCCAAAAATGTTACCATTTTTCTGGCCAAACCTGTACATTAATACTTAAACTAAAGACTAAACTTGTGTCCTCATTGTGAATAACTGAGGATTTTGGTACAAATAAAATCCTGTGTAGCATTCGCGATGATTATACTTAGAGCTAATTTCGTATAAATCTTTGAGTCTTATACATGAAATATGTTATAAGAGTTAATCACTGAACAACGGTAATACCAAATAGTTCAATATTTCAGACTTTTCAGTTAAAAATCCATAATATAAGAAATTATCTTACATTCTTTTTTCATGCCAATACGAAGGCACTTATCAAGACGGCAAGCTTGGCACTGTCGGCGATTACTTTTTGTTATCGTACAATTCCCAGTATATGGACAGGTAAAGTTCTTTGAATTCTTCATACTTCGTCTGAATTATTGAAATCAAAAATATAGTAAATACAGTAATTTTGAATCATGTAAGCATCCCAAAAACATTCTATCATGTTCATATGATGATTTTTAGTGTTAGTATGTCTAAGTGATAACGCTAAAATGTCATTCTTCATGATCGTGAGATTTGGGTTGCAGGGGGCATTGTGTATAATTATTGAAGAAATGTCAAAGATAATTTAGTTTGCCACTGCAAATTGATTTGACCATCCAAGTGCACTATATTAATACCAAATAATGTTATAAATTAAAGATATTCAATGATAGGTAGGATGCATCCCAGCCAACTATTGATTTATATATTTATCAGGAGCATAGAGACAAAAGATTATAAATAAACTTCAATTCATAATCAATTACAATGAGATAATAATGTTACGTTAACAAAAATTTTCAACATCTAAAACTGAAACCCCCTGAATGGAGCATGAGAAATGTGAAACAATTGGTTTAAGTACAAAAGTTAAATAGCAAATAAAGCACTATTCCAGCTAATTACAATTACCAAAGCAAATGAAGCTTGGTTTAGGCAAAGAGCACAAACCATGTATACAGAATAGTTTTGTTCTAACTCAGTATTCAGGAAGTAGTTCAGTAATATGATGCTGTATTGATATCCCTTTTCCCGGTGCATTTTTAGCAGCGTTGAGCTAATTCTCAAGGCCTCATGTTCTAGCTTTGCCTACGTTCGTTCAAAGAGACTAAATATTGTATTGTTTTAGTTCAGTCGCAAATTTATATCACAAAATGGAACTCTATTATGCCACTTTTCAAAACAACATTAAATATGCTGGTACAGCACTAATAAATAATCGTGAAATTAATTCAATTTATGTGAATATTTGGATTTTAGAGATCACAATTTTTAGGCCTACTAGAACAGCCTAAAATTTGAAAATAATTTGGTAAAAAACAGCATAACTCAAAAATGAGTACTATATTGTTAAGTGAGGATGAGTCATTACACGGCTATGTAAACAAGTACCACACGATACCTTTAATGTGGAATTAAAGTCTAGTGGATATGCTGTGTCAACGTAGCTATTTTACCAAAGCAATTCATAGTATGGATATATGAATAATGTCAATAACAAACCCATACGATGGAATAACATTACTATACATATATGTATAGAACCGTGGTTTCAATCAGAGATGGGTAAACAAATTGAAATTTCAGATATATTTAAATTTCTTTTTTTTCTTCTCAGAAGTAGAAAGAGAGCCGTAGTTAATTCAAGAAATGAAAAGTTACTTTTTGAAAAACAGTATTGCCCTTGAGTGAAAAATATCAAAATTTTTTTGAAAGGGGTTGAAAAAGCTTTTCCTTGGCCTGGAATTGATTCAGTTTTATCGTGTGACAGCGCTATCATTAGTTTTCTGATCTATTTTCTGTTTAATTAGGTTTTAAATTATTATAATCTACCTAAGATGAAAAAAGAATAAAAGAACATAAATCGAAAAATCAGTGGCGGGGCACTAATGCATTATCTGTGGTAGTACTAGTTATTCGGTCATGGCGAGGCCAGATTGTTTGGACAAGTGATATATTCTCCCCAACTTTGGGCTTATTATTGAAAAAAGTACCTCAGCCAAAAGTTTAAAAACTCTGGTTGTGAATGAAGCACCATACGAGGTCATTAAAAATAATATCATATTTCTCCTCACACAACACGCAATAGATAATACGCATGTATGATTTTGCATGCAGATCGCAAGAAATTTTTAGCCTTCATGCATAATATGCATAGCGTATTTTAGTTCCTCTATTATGTTTTAGGTGCCAAGGTTTCTCAGACATTTTGTCTGCTTTTTTTTAAATTATATCTCTGATTAAATATGTTGTCTTATATATTGTCCCCAATTTTCTGCCAATAATAGCATGCTGTTTTGTTATACCTTAAACTATCATTTGTCTCCGAGCTCCTTAAAAGTTTTTATAAAGAAGCAATGGATTACAAACCTGAAGAACCCTTTACATCCTTCACAAGTCAAAGCATTGAAATGATAGCCTGTAGCTTTATCTGCACAAACTTGACAAATCTTCCACGAATCATCATCGTCATCATCAAAGAAAAAATTTGGTACTTGATGTTGTTGTTGCAATTTCGTTGGCGTTTTCATTGGTTTTTGAGAAGATGGCCTGAAGATTTTATAAACCATGTTTGAAATCCAAAAAAATATTTAAAATTCGTAATTTTAAGAAATTTAAATAACATTTTGATTTGATACAAATAATTTTAACAATACAATTGGCGCTGAATTGAAGGAAATGAAGTATGTTTGGATCCATTTTTATGTATTTAATGTATGATCTTGGAGACATAATTTGATCCAAAAATTTGTCCAAAAATTTACAAATTCTAAGATGTTAAAAATATATTATAATCTCATTTTTTAAAAGATGAAGAACTCATTGAATAAGTGTATTAGAAATAATAACGCAAATATGGACTGTAACTCAATATTTTAGAATAAAAAAAACTATTTGGAGATATTATCAAAATTTTCATCAAAGCAAAGACATAAACTGTGCATATTTATAATTTTTTGTTAACTACATATGGGCACATGTTGTATGATAAATCACTTTAGATTAGACATCAACCTCCACGTAATGTACATGTAATTTTAGGAGTCAGTACAAGACACCCGCTGATCAATAATTTTAGTGCATGCATGCGACATGAAAACGACCTTAAGAAAGTTCATATATAAGGACAGTTTGTTTGCTATGAATAATTAATACAATAACAGTTACACTAACAAAGGTCAACATTTTATCTAAAGTCAAACATAAAAGACTACACTGAGGTATTTTGTTGTATTAAAATAAATCTGCTGTAGTAATTGATGTTTGTTTTAATACCGTACTGTATCTATAATTATAATTTTCCCATTGAATAACTTTGAAATTCTTGATTTAAGAATAATTTAAAATATATTCAGTTTTTTCAAATTTCATTTCATGCATTTGAAATTCTATAATCACACAAAGAACAGGTATATTTAACTTCTGAAAACAGTAGGAACCTATCAAAGCAACTTTTATGACCACCTTATCATTTAGGTAATTAATCCCAATGTTGGCAATGTATATAGGAATATTTATGCAAATAGTCTTATTAAACATGATATGTGAAACATGAACATAAAAATATTGCTCTAGAACGGGGGTTCTCAACCTGGGGTTAGCGAACCCCCAGGGGTTCACGAGAAAATTTCCAGGGGTACTTGGACGGCAGTCGAGTGTTTGTGTGTTTTTTAATATCCTTTATTACTACCAGAGGAAAATGCGTGTCAATTGAAACAGAGATTTTCTCTGATGTTGCGTTGTTGTGATTGTGACGCAACAATGTGAAAATCATGGCTTTGCAGGCAAACTGTAAAATCTCGAAAGACGGCGTGCTGCGAGCATTGGAGAAAGTGATTATGCTTATTAAAACTTAAGAGAGATTTTAAATGGAAATTCAATAGTTAGGCGGAGGACAAGGGCAATAATATCAACACGAAGATTTAATTTAGTTACATCTGGTCAATAAATTGTTGTTTCTATAAATCGTTAGTCAATATATCACAACTTTGTTCGGTGTCTGATTACTGGGGGTTCGCGTTGATTGTTTCGCGACTCGGGGGGTACTTGACAAAAAAAAGGTTGAGAACCCCTGCTCTAGAATATATTTAGAATTGTAAATTACTCAATTTTAGCCACCCAAGGCCGAACAATGCAATTGTTAAGTACATATTACTAAATACTAATAATAAAATCTGAAATCTGAATGGTATTCAAATATCTCATTTAAAATAAGAATTATCTTGATACTGTATATAAATTTCAATCACAAAAAATTTAAAAATCTAAAATGTTTAAATGAATCATTTCAAACCGTCAGTTAAATGAGGGGAAATTGGTAACTCACAAAGGGATGATTATACTAAACAACATAGGATTTCCGCATTATTTCAATATATCACACAGACAAGTGCGTTCACTTTACCGATAGTGAAATCATTGTAGTTTACTTCAGCGATAGGAAAGTTATTATTCAAATAGATCGCGATAGCCTGAAGAATACCTAGCATGTGTTATTATATAATTAATTGTTTCATGGATAATTCTAGTATTGTATGCAAAGTCAATGGGTCATATAGAGTTTAAGGACAAATTTATACCTTGAAGCAGAATCGTGACTCAAATGATCCATATTGACAAAAGGTTAAGAGTATCCATATTTAAAATTCAATTTTACTTTGGCTGTGGCTATAGTTATATTTTCAAAATTTAAGCCATAGAAATGAATTTGATATGCAAATGTTTTTGTTGAATAATTTTTATTAAAATTAGGCATATTGTCTTAAGAAAAGCATACAAACATGATAAACAATATAAGGGATGTCATTTCGAAATTCCCCTTCTTCTGGAAGTAGAAATTTTCCTTTTGATAATAGGTAGGACAGTATGGATATTCCATATCCAAATAATTTGGTCTTTCAGAATTCCGAAATATTTTCAATATTAATATTTGTTCTAATTCAAATACATAATGCAGAATGAAGTCAATCAGGTTAAAAATATCAAACAAATAACAGAAATATATCTTTAAAAAAAATATGGTCGTCGTTAAAGAAAAAGGCATCATTAAAAATTCCAATTCAGTATTATAATCACTAGATTATTTAAAAATATTAATCTTAAAATTGAAGCTTCTTATAATCTGATTGATATAACAATATTTATTAGAATATGAAAAATACTTATAGCCTATCGCAACAGATTAAAAATCAAAAAAATTAGTTTGCAACAAATAAATAGGCCTCCAAAAATTAATTTCATCATGATAGTATTTATAATATCTTTGTCACGATTTACTTTACATCATCATACTGGTCAATGATATAATAAAGCCTTATCAGTAGTGAAAGGCGTGAATAACATTAGGTAAAAAAATAAGTTATTGAAACTATGAAAGAACTTATAATCCATTACATAAGATGCCATATAACCGAGGAAAATTTTTTCAAATGAGTTAGGAAATGTCAATTAAACATAGTTACCTGCTTGGTGTTGTTGGCTTAGGTGTATAAGAACTACTAGTGGAACTATTTGTGGAAGAATGAGAAAAATGTCTTTCATCATTAGTAGATGAGAGAGATGTATAGGTGATAACTTCATCTGGATAAAAAACATAAAATATTAGGTACATTACAATATTTGTGGATCATATATGATCCCGATACCTAAAATCTAGAAGTCTATGATCAGAACATTCACTTAAAAGTTAAAATGATTCAAACAGTTTGGTATATTGCTGTAAAGCGTAGCTAATTAATTCTATTTCCTTAGTTTCTGTGTTTGCGGTTCTGTATGAACACGGAAGCTATCGAGTATCAAGTAAGAATGTATGATAAGATTATATGATATCGATTAGGTCCCTATGAGACTAACTACTTCTTCGTCTTCTATGCTTTCGCGTCGGTGGATCCGTATGCATATAATGCGAGGATGCTGTAGCAAGGGTGAAGATAACTATCCCAAGTGATTCAAGAGACTTGATGCACACTAACACAAATATATTTCAGTAACGTTTCGTCTGACCAAAGGTTACAGAAATATATTTGTGTTAGTGTGCAGCAAGACTCTTTAATCACTTAAGATTATACGAGTTGAAATATTTAGTTGCAGACCATGCCATAACTATTTGCTAATTACAGAACTGATCTGAAGTCTTTCATTCTTCTTATGTACTGGTGCATATAATACCACTCAATAATTGTTGCTACAAGCAAAGATGAATATTAGTTCCCATTTTGACAATTAAAAAAAGTGAACACAGTTATCTATCGGGAGATCTGACTTCGTTCACACAAAGAAAAATTTTATCGAAAGGGCAGTAATATCATTAAGTTTTTCCCAAAACACACAAAAAGACATTATTAATGATTACTCACTTTCGTTCACATCACTCTCCTTCGAAACCATATAAGAGGATTTGTAAAAATCAGGATTAGCAGATATCGTACTTGTATATCCAACAATTCCCGATGTATCCGAAGGATTAATAATAGGTTTGGTTTCAAAACAGTGATTTGGAGGATTGACAAACGGACTTGCATACCTGAAATTATAAGTTATGTTTACAAAAATATTGTACGAGAATGAAATAATTAAATGGAATAGAGAAGATTCATTACAGTCTGAGTTCCCTTCTTCAATGAGACTCAATTTTACGTGGAAAGTAGGAATTGATAACTTTTTGAGATTAGTGCCGAGTTTATATCCATGAAGGCTATGTAACAAATTCATAAAAATATTATTATATTCAGGAAATTGGATATAAAACAGAATCTCATTCGAATATTAAATTGCAAGGTATTTATTTTCAATAAAATTCAGAAGAAGATCAATAGTACGTTCAGTAACTATGTATATAATAATATAGTATAAAATGTATAGTATTTATTTGGTTGACTCTGGGGCTTCAATAACCTAAAAAGACCAAACTTGAAAATTTCTGTAGCTTTTCATTGAATGACTTTTGGTGAATATTGCTTCGCACTATGATGAAATACAAGCGTAAAAAATACCAATGCCTTTGTAATATTTTTGAAAAAATTTCTCAAAATTTCAACATTCTCCTTTTTGTTTCGAAATCCTTTGTTATCGTCAGGTATCATAAATTTTTAGTCCCACAACCATGATAACAAATTTTGGGCTTTTCAATTTACCACTCATAAAAATCATATTTCACAGAATTTTTTCACAGAAAAAATGAAGTTTTAAATAGATATTTTTTTAAGAAATCAATAATGTTACCAGTTCATTTAAATTCAATACTCCGAAGATCCATGTTTAAAAAAGAAACAAGGCATATTATGACTTTACATTATAAACATAGAAAGTTTAGATTAACTGTTAATAAGATAATCAAATATGCGAGTGAACTACTAACCTCGGATCATTGTATGTTTGTAGATCTGTTTTGGAGATAGAAGCATTTTGCATCGGCATATCACATTGCATTTTTGCTGGTGATGATCTCTCAATGAAACGTTTGGGGGGAGGTGAGAGTTGAGTGGGTGACCGAGTGCAACCTGAAAAAATAAATCATTATCATTCAGATTAGACTAAAATTATTGAAAAATCCAGAAGGATAACTTGTACTCCATACCAAATGCTGTTCTACATTTGTAGACCGATGTTACAAATAAAGAAGGCCCTATTGGGTTCCTACACAGAGAAACTACCAGTTCCTATAACACATTTACCTGGTCCAATAAAAGTTTTAAATTGCTATTTATGAGCACTGCATCACATGTGTAAGGTGAAGAAACAACAGTTTTTTAAAAGGTTAAGAAGTTGAGACTGTTAGGTACCATAATTATATGGTAAATTTCAACTTGAAAATGACATTTATGATGTGAAATAGACACTTGAGTATATAAAGGAACTATTTGTACAGATTAAATATTTTTATGTAAGTAAGCTATTCTCAAATCAAGGTTCAAATCCCACAATGAAAAGTGTAGTCACGTAGTGATAGAAGAGTTGGAACTGATCACTGATGCACTCACTGAGAACTATAAATTTATCCTCACAACAGATATATCAGTGGATACAAGTCGACATGATTACAAACAATTCAAGTCAATATTGTCAGGAAAGTAGCTAAGTTGATGGGAAAACATATAACATCACTTTTTCAAAATTGGAAAGCCTGAGTATTGTATTGACACAACAAGCATTTTCTTGGGTGGCTTAAAATCATAGTTTTTTTCATAGTAATTATTCCATACTTCAATTACAGCATAATATGCGTATATTTTGTACATATTATGTGTATGAGTTCTATAAAATACAATTAGGTTATAAAATTTGTAGCTGTTATGTATCCAGTAACACCATATGCTATATCTTACCATAAGTTTTGTTAGAAAGTTGACTGTTGGTCATTTGTGTATGTTGACCTTCATCTTGCATAATCAATTTTCTTTCAGGAGGTGAATTTGAATCGCTGTTTCTCGAGTCTGAATAGAAAGTCTCCGTTCCAGTTGACATGCTGTAAGGTCTATTGTTATCTGTGAAAAAATTTTAACAAGATTAGTTAGTGCTTCAAAATATTATTATGATACTTAGGGTATACTTGCCATGAATGATCCTGTGAGAAAAATAAGATTTAATAAATATATAACCTTGGTTTGGTTATATACCAAAATGCCTCAGAAACTGGTTACGAGAATTAGATCAGCCTATGAATAAATGGATTTATAATTCAATATTAAAACAATAAACATTTAAAAAGGTTTGAGAATGTGAGAAATTGAATGTAAAACGGACTTGAGTCTGTTAAAATATTATGAAGTTATTTATTATATTATACTGTCCCACCTTCGCTACCATTAGCTGGTGAACTGTAATATTCCTTGTAAGTTTCAGTAACTGATACAGGTACAAATCTTGTGTCGTTTACTGGATCGTAAGAACTTTGGGAAGTAAAAACTGAATTCTGGTCATTGTTGAGTGGACGAATATGATGATACTCCATTTCAGGAAGAGATGGATTGTATCTGAAAAATCATTTGTAACTTTGAAAGTGCTTCTATAATACTTTTGGAACTGCAGTGTGAGTCTGGTGGAGAATATCTACAGTGGCAGAACCATATTCAATTTCCAAATGTTAAAATTAACTCAATATCACAGCAGAACTATGTTGCATCTGGATATCTACAAAAACTGCCAGGACCTCATAATTCTTTCGGCATCAGTTTATTGAAATTTCCAGTTTCCACATGACATCTCTTTTCAATAGCTCAAATTATGCATTTGAAACGCATTTGCGTTCTTGTTTGGAAAAATTTCCAAGAATTATTCCAAATTCAAATCAAACAAATAAGCCAGACACATACACACACAGTAGCCTTATAAAAGGAATT